CGGTTTGCCTTCCCGACGGTCAGTCAGTATTCACTGCTAACTGGAGGCATACATCATGCACTCAAACTCATACCGGAACTACCAGAAGCAATCCTATCAGAATCGCAAATTGCGCGACAAGCGATCAGCGGCAGAAATTCAAACTCCAGGCCAAACAGTCAATAATATTTTATACGAATATACAAAACTGTCGGACCAAGGAAAACAGTTGGATCTGTGCTGGATCCCGTCTCACATAGATATTCATGAAAATGAAAAAGCAAAGCTCGCTACAGCCAAAGCGGGTATACAGTCAGTTACCTTCAGCAAACTAGAGATCAAATTCAAAATCAAAGCTCAATAGCCCGAAGATGGCAAGCCCAGTGGGACGTAAGTAAGATCAGCAGATGGCTATACCAATATCAACCCAAAATCCATAAAAGACCATACTCATACTCAAATAAAAGGACAGTAACAATCTCACGCCTCAAGCTCGGTCGTAAAAAAACCACTATGACAAGAATGTCTATCCTGCAATCAACATGAATCCATTGCTCACTTGTTAGTGTAAAGTCAACACCAAGGCCGGGCTCTTCTAAAACAATAATTTCAGTCAAGATCCGCAATATTAAAACTCACAATAGATATGTGTACCCTACTCACACAGATGAATCCCAAAGAGGGCCAAACGTAAGACAGTATACGTAGGCGATCTCTCATCACCTTAAGTCAAACACTTAACACCTAAAAATGTGAATGTAATTTGTTTCATGACTGGCAAAATTGGGAACTTTGTAGCATGTACTCAATGAAGGAGGTTTGGTACGTTTGCCAGTGTAAAACAATAGTTGTTGTTTTTTATTTACCTGTCAGTTACTTGTTCGTTGCATTGTGTTAATTAACTTCAAATGCCACTGAAAATCACTATATGTTATCTTTCACCTGTGTTTTTTTTATATTTATTAACTCGTTGTCTTTTTTTCAAATTATATTCAGCAGTTGCAAATAGGGACAGCAAAATGACTAAGCAACGACACGTTATTAAAATGAAGTGAAAACTTACAACACGCTTAGTAATATACTATTGCGGTCAGTGAATTAGGAGAAGAAGATTCTTTGAAAGGAGGAAAATAACATCTACTAACTGATCAGTAGATTGACCTAGTCTACTAAACCTACAGTGGCCTCAGAAGCAAATATTTACCAACTGGTTATTACAATCTCCTAAAAAGTTGGTGTCAGAGTGGATAGTGAAATTCACTAAGTAAGAACATTTGACTATTACCATCAGTGTATATCTCGATCCTTTGACTTTTGATTTTTGTACATTTATATCGGAGTTTGCGTTTGCCACATTCACAGTTTTGAGAAGCGTAAAAGGGCATTTCACATCTACCATCGCTGTAAACGTACATTGCAAATTTAAGCAATTGTTCAACCAATATCAATAACCAGATAATGTGAACGATATACACGCGTTTGCACAACATAATTTGATTCTTATCAAACTGTGAATTAATGGATGTCTGTTGGGTCGTTAAACATTGAACAACACATTCCCTTTGTGCTTGACAAGGTCAGGACGGATGCATTGTCAGCCGTTTACAACATTGTGTACTCGTTGTCTCATCAAGCCGACGTGAACATTGTACATAATTTGTCACAGCTGCTATTGATTTTTTTTTTTGCCTTCGAAATAAATTCATTTTGCCATTGCATTACACTTGATGCGTGTTTGGTTTCTAACGCAGTGAGTGAGTGAGTGAGTGAGTGAGTTGGGGTTAATGCCGTTGTTAACATTATTCCAGTTATATCGCGGCGCCTCAGACGACTGGGCTACCCGTGTCCCCTCCTGAGATCACAACCTATTGTGAAGGTGCGCTCATGATAAAGGCTGTTCACTTAATTAAGAATTGACCTTCACTTTGTGTGAGTTCATTGGAGTATGAACCTTCATAGAGTGCCAAACGGTCTGAACGTCGACCTGTCGTCCAATGGAAAAGCCGTATATCGTGTAAACTTCAAAATAAAAATTATATAAAGAAATTTAGTCAAACACCTGTATGGATCTCAATCAGTCATCAAACAGAAATAACAAAACAGAGCCGGTTGGTTTGTTTGTTCAACCCCGCACTCATGCATAAACATGTCAGTGAGTCTGACCATCAAATCATGTTAGTCGCCTCTTACGACAGGCATGGGTTGCTGAAGATATAATGGGCTGTCACGTCAAAAAAACCTAGAAAAATATCGATCGCTACTATGAATGGAAAACAAGAACTCGGTCTTACAGGCAGAATGGCGCAGAATTCCGCAGGACAGAATTCGTACACTTTTCCAGTCAGTACCGAGGAGATGCAGAGCCGTGATTGCTAAGTTCAGCGCAACCTTGTGGCCTTATGTGACATGACAATGAACAGTTTTCAATGCCTTTGTGCAACGACAACATGTGACAATCGAACTCCAAAATTTCATGTTTGTATCTATGATATTAAATCAAATATTTCGACTTTATTAAGTACAATATATAAATTCACTAAAAATCGTCCTGTGCGTTCCTTTGTTTGAAGAGAATATATCGACGGGTGTTGAAATATTATCAAAACACACGATGGCGAGATTCTATTTATCATCCACATTCATTCGTTTACAATGTTTTAAATTTTAAACGGTAATGATCAGTGTCAAAAGGAAATGCTAACCAGCTCCCCACACAGAGAGATTAGTCATGTCATTTGCTTATGCCGTTATGGTAACCAATGGCGTCACAACGGTCAGCAAAACAGTGTCATGCAATTTGTCTTCATTTTAACGGTATCTCCTTGGAGAAATAGAGATTACAACACGAGTGTCTGTCAGATACGGTATACCACAATTGACCTTACAACGAGTTTTTTCAAAACGTATCTAACGAGCGAAAGCACCTTTTTAGCATCGAACCGATGAATTTTGTCTATTATCATGATGGCAGTAGCGCATTAATACATAACGCCACTGTCATAAGTGACGTCATCGTATGTGCTGCTTACTACTCTACACAAAAAGGTTTCCGCCCATCTGTGGATTATCAAGGCGATGATGAAAATGCAAACTAGACAAAAACAAAGAACACGTTGGGTGCCAATTTGAAAGTTTACACCTCAAAGAAATTACCAAATATGTACAACAATGTTTACTTCCGTATGACATCACTACCGGTGACCGACTTTTACAAAATGGCGTGTTCACTTACAACAGTACGCAGGATTTCCAGAGGAGGATTTTCGTTGATTGAGGGATAGTATACACATAAATGTGCCACGTAAGTAATCAGAAACATTCTGACAATCGGCGTACTGTAATTTGTTTACCGTGTTTTCCAATGTAACAAAGAGAATTAGTCAGAAATGCAGATAACGACCGTCATCGTTGTGCGTGATTCAGCGTCAGTCATGGCGTCACACAGGACGGAAACTTTTACGGCTTCTGTTGAATTTACCACATCATTGTAATGTATATATGTGTATTTCTATAATAAGTGCAACGATACTCTTCCCATGAATATTCTCAAACGCGTGATCGAGCCAATGTATGCAACAATTAGACGAAAGTACCTCTAAAAATGCTACACAGTGTAAAATCTGAATTTTGCTTTGTTTACATTTCAGCAAGTACAGTTTTCCGAGCATAGTTTTCGCTTCCATACCTAATTTATTTCGCATGATTTCATCTAGATAATTTGCATTGGTGACAAAGACCATTTATCCATTAGTTCGAAAATGTATGAGGAATTCAGGGATGCATGTATAGCAGCTGAGTTTGAATTATACCTGATCGAATAGGCGTCTCATAGCCGGCATTTTGTAAACACAATCCAATATGGCAGAACGTTCACTTTGGCGTTCGTGTATGCGTATTTTCCAAAACATTCTAAATGATTCTAGGCTTATCAGTGACGTTTCAGAATTAGCATTTGTGATTTGATACCCGTGATCGCTAATATGCTATTTTTCTACTTTAATTATTCGAGTAAATATCCGATATTTAGATTTCTAAACACACAGTAAATATTTATATAACGCCGTGAATTGTGATTTGGTGAGATTTACAATGTACCTAATTTTCAGAAGTCACTTTCAGTAATTTTGACAAATGACAGTAAATGATAATCAGAAGGGGGAATTCATTAATGCGTGATGTATTTTTAATTTTAGTCGATTTCGAAGTGAGTGTTGAAGAGGAGGGGCATACATGTGTCGCTGTGCATCCAGGGGGTTTACACTCTGAAAAAGCGATAATGTTGACATAACAACAGATAATGTAACTGATGATAATATCAAACAAACTCGCAGACGAGGACGAGTTTGTTTATTTTTATTATTAATTACACGGCCCTATGTTCAATACAGACGTAGGTGAACATTCGACTGAAGCACGAGCAACTTATGAATGACTTACACTCAGGAAAGTGGTCCGTCATCATCTGACCTCAGGTCATCACCATGGAGTAGCCAATCACGGGCCTGGAATTCGATCTCACACATATGTTTGATACTAATTATCTCAAATGGGTTTCTCACGCACAGGTGTGTAAGAAACACATGTTAATTTCAGGCACATCTTATGCTCTAATAAGCACTTGATTTGCATGTATATCTTGTGTAAATGTTCATGTTCAAATGCGTGTGACACTTAAATATATACAACAACTACTACTGCTGTTATTACTACTGCTACTACTACTATTATTACAACTACTAATGCTGCTGTTGCTGCTACTACTACTACACTACTACTACTACTGCTCCTGCTACTGCTACTGCCACTACTAATACAACCGCTACTACAACTTCTACTACTACTGGAATGGCGTAATGTATGTGCGTGACTCGTTCACCAAATGGTTTGTGTGTCCCTGTCACACACAAAATCAAGTGATCAAGACTAAATCAAGTATCATCAGTAAAATACAACCCTTCAATCCCGTACACAATCACTTAAATGTGATTCTCTTTTCTATTACACAGAGTAGATCAACTCACCTCCTGTAGAAGTGTGAACAGCTTGACAACATTAAATACATGCCGAAGGCTGCTATTCCGCTCCTCGTCATAAGGTATTCCGATCATCGCTGTGCTTGTGAAAACCCATCAGAATCCAGCTCATTGTAAATGTGTTCATAAATATTCATCAAATGATCCAGTACAGTAATGCCAATTTTGCCCCTCGCACCCTAAACCGAATTCCATGGAAACAGCACCGTGTGGACACAAACGAAATAATTTGTTATCAATCATACACGAACGTTCTGATTTCGGATGGTGTGCCTACATGTACTTCTGTCTGCTGTAATATAGACTGCTCTACTAACCATGTCTGTCTCTTATATGCTTTAACTTGTCGGCAAAATAGCTTGTTTAGCTGTATACTAGTATTAACGCGAAGAACCCAATGGGTTGACGGGTGGTATGAGTTACTTCCCCTGATACCGGTGTTAGCCCAATATGATACCTGTGGAAATTTGATACTCTTTTTCAAGACGGAAGATTTGATAGGGAAATAAAGTGACAGCCGGGTTTCCCCTTTTCGTCCATCAAACCTTATATACGAAGCATTTTTATTGTCAAAGACTTAATCTCACACAAACAAGTTACCATGTACATACATTTCTGAATATGGAGTAAATCCTCCACTGTCTCTCATAAGACACGTGCATTATTCTTGTGAAGTGGCTTTCACTTTTGTTCATTTGCAAGCTGTAACCCTGTGTGTACTTATATTTTATTCCGAGTTAAATTAGAATTGCTCTCCAGCTACCCATACTTGTCGTAAGGGGTGACTTCGCGGGCATCTTGCACCTGGTCTGACACATTGATCGTTTCTCGATGTTTAAAACAACTGGTTATAGTCTTTGTACTGCTGTACAACCAATATTTTGCTTTCTGACGACTAATGAAAATGTTTGCTTTAAAGCTGCCCAAACCCTCCATCTGGCCGCCTTCCTGTATTGTAATCCTGTATTTTTTATTGTTTCTAAAATGTCTGTCTGCCTCGCATGGCTTGGTTACAACGCCAATGTAATTATAAATGTCAGAAAAAGTGAAACAAATGTTGTTGTTGTTTTTATACGTGAATAATCTAGGATGCGGATGGCTGTTGTCACACGACGTCGAAGGGATATATAGTTTATGTACCTTGTCAATGCATGTCATCTGACGATCGTGATTGTGGCATGGACAGTTCGTCCAAAACAAGGGGAGTCATTTGGGCCCAGTAGGGGACTTAGCTGAGCCTAGAGGGAGTGTTTTGAGCCTTGCTCGGGAAGTCATGTGAGCCTAGACCCATATGACTCTCGAGTCTTTAGGGGGAGTCGTTTGAACCTACTACACCGGGACCGCTCGAGACTGTGTGTTCTGATCAGAAGTGTGTTTACCCTTTACCGCTGTGCGTAACTCATATACACTCTTCGAAAAAAGAAAAGCACGGGATAGATTTTTACTAATTTGTCATGTCACACAATGCAACAAGGTTGCGCTGAACTCAGTATCTCATGTTACCGCCCCGGACAGCAATCATGGCTCTGCATCTCATTGGCACTGAGTGGATAAGTGTACGAATTCTGTCCTGCGGAATTCTGTGCCATTCTGCTTGTAACCACAACCAAGTCAGATCTCATGTGGTAGAATATGGCCCCCTCACCATGACACTACCGCCACCGAAAGTGTCGCATTCACGTCCACAATGTGGGGCAAAACGCTCATTTCGACGACGATAAACACGTTGTCTCCCATCTCGCTGGTGAAAAAGAAATCGTGATTCCTCGCTAAACCACACTCGTCTCCAGTTTCTCAAATTCCAAGGCTGTAAGGTATGGCAGCAACGCAGGCGGCGCTGTCGATGGGTCTGTTGCAAAACAGGGACGATAACTGGTCTTCTCGGTCAGATTCCAACCTCGAGAAGATGGTTCCTGACAGTCTGGTCCGATATCCTCTTCAAACAAGGGATGCGTCCTGCAGTCTCCGTAGCTGTGACATTGCGATGGCGTCGGGGGATTAGTCGAATGTAGGGTGGTAAGTATTGGTCGGCCGGTTCTCGGCAGCGGAATTGAACAAAGGCGGGAAATGGTGCTGTGGTGGACGAGGAAGTGGCGTGCAACAGAAGACTGCGATTCCCCTCTTTGGATACGTCCTATGAGTCTCGGCATTTTCGAACATGAAAAATGTTGAAAATTGAATGACAAATTATTGATAGGCTTATGCTTGCCTTTTTATAGCCATTACCACGAATACCGTAACTTGCATTATCCTTTACTGTTTTCCTCTATGACATTTTTAAACAAGTGTTAAAACAATGCGTTTTGACGCACCGTTTGTCGAAGATCAGGCCACCAACATTTTCCAATAACATACATCCAATTTATGGACAGGATTTTTTGTGTAGTCAGGTTCAATGAACTACATACTACCTGTGCGTTTCTTTTTTTGAAGAGTCTATTTGGAATATTGCTGACTATGGGGTTCAACAATATTCGCCCACTTAACACTAATGAGTGACAGTGCATACCTGTCCTCTTATACTGTTTTCTTCTTTAACAATTAGTACCGTCTAAAACATGTTTTTTCTATGACGCGACCAGACGATCGAACAACCGACCTTCCGCTCTCAGGAAAGAAGCTCTATCCATTATACCACGAATGCCGTCCAATAACATGAGAGCCACATATTCATGTGCATACAATAAGTGCATTTAAATGTAATTTATATTTCATCGGGTGCCAATCAAACGTAAATGTAAAATTTGCTGCATTTACCTGACAATTGAAGAGAAAGCTGAAATGGCTTGATGTCATTCAGACTTTGGGACCAACGAGTGTTGCTTTAAATCTGCCCTCGATTTTCGTTCTCAGCTCCCTGGGGTGTATACAATCCAAGCTGGCTGCGGGGCGCAAGAAGGTTCACAGACACATTACCACTCATCACATCGAATATATGATGTCAAGAAAACAGGGGTCGCAGACGAACAGCACACAGTAATGGGCAAAGTGGAGCGTGAATTTAACCGTGTATATGTTGGGTTGCCTAGCAGTTTATATTCGTGCAACCTACAACGTTCCACGTGACTAATCTAGTCATGACAGAGTAAGAAATCGTGTCAATATATTACTCAGGATGGTCATATGGTTTTCGCAACTATAACAGTTTGTTTCCTGGTGGCAGTTGTAGAATATGCTGAAACAGGAGAAAGTGCCTCCTGTTGTTTTTTCGGAGGTTGTCAAGTGTATAGTACTTGTTCAAACAGGTTGTGTTTAATGATACCTTATCTAGGACTATATTTACAGATCATTACACTAGTTTTAATTTTATATCAAGGTTTCTGAAGCGAATGTAATATTATATCTATTATCACAGATGTAATTGACGTGGGATAAAAAAAATCCAGATCTATTGCGTATAATGCTTGTTTTAACAGGCTGTGTTTTATGCGTTATCTAGGAATATATCTATAGGATATTATACGAGCGTTAATGTAATGTCAAGTTTATTGGACCGCCTCCGTTGTCTAGTGGTAGAGCGTCCGCCGATCCCCGACCGCGTCATACCAAAAGACGTTAAGAGATGGTACTTGTTGTTACCCTGTCTGGCGCTCGGCATTAAGGGGCTAAAGCAAGGACTGGTCGGCTCGGAGTCAGTATACTGTGTCTGAGTGGGGTATTCATGTTAAACTGCGGCATGGTATCTCATTGAGCTACCACTATAAATCGGCATCAGTCCGGACTAGTACAAGCAGCCACACCCACACGTACATGCACGTCGCTGTATAAGTGCAATAATCTTGGACGCGACGTTAAACTTCCTTTCACCTCACCTCACCTCAAGTTTATTGAAGCGAGTTGTTTATTCTATTTTTTGCCACAAATGTAATTTAAGTAAGGCTCGCTAAATACAATGTTTATTCCTAATACAAGATATTTAATATCCTCAAACACACACGCGTGATAACCTCTATTTATGTCCCTTCTATGCCTCTCCTATGCACCAATCAGATTCCACCTCTCGTATCACTTGCATTTGCTTCAAACAAAAAGGCGGCGCCATGTCAAGACGATCTGATCGATAATCAAGATCTATATTGTGATAAAACGGGTCTTACATCGCGAAGTGCATCAAATCACGTGAGCACCTTGATTAAAAACATAAAAAGATTTGGGAAAATATCTGTGGACAACGAATTGGCGGTGCACATGCTTTGTAAATCCTGCAATAGACCCAAATCTGCATCTGAGTTCACGAACAGGATTTCGATTTCCTTACGCGATTTTGATTGGACTATAAATCGACTCGTTAGCCCAGCCAAAATGTAACTTCATAATACCAGCCTAGTTCAGCAAGGGAGGAAACTGTACTTGTATAGTCAGTTAATTCCCTTTTGTCGGGAGGATGAACTGAGTAAGAAAACACTTCACCATCAGTACGCACCACCACTCAGAGGCAGAAGACTCCTATACTGTTTATACCAGATCGTGAGACCAGATCGAGAGACCAGAGTGAAACCTAGCTGTGAGTGTGTGACCGAGGTAATGTCCCCTGTGTCTAACTCAGAGTGCAGCGTATCATATTCACATCAGGTGATACTTTAACTGAACTAAACTTGCAGGCAAAAGAAAGTGTACCTATTGACATTGTATTTGACCAACAAATTACACACATTGCCAACACGATTCTAGGGTTAAACCGGCTTTCGAAACACTGCAAACTTAGGTCTACATCTCAACTATGATACCCGTATCAAGTACATCACTATTGAAGAAGTGGCGGAGTAAGTGAGTTGGGTTTTTACTAGTATTCAATTTACATCACGGCGTGTCAGCTTAATGTGGAAGAAAAGCCAGAGGTGATGCAGGTTTCAGATGGTTTACCACTTTGGTGAAACCCAAGAGCACGGGTATGGTACTGACGAACCTAGAAACATAATCGAGGCGTACCGGGATTCGAACCTACAATCATGGGTTTCTGGCATGCCCAAGGGACGCAACTCGGGGCGCCTTAGACGACTATTGAAGAATCATTTCTTGTTTGTTTCATTTTCAGCCATCCACATAGCTAAATGCTTTCTTTTGCCGGGCTGCGTATTTTTGTATGGGATACCTCGGCTGTTGTTTAAAAAGTTACTAATATGTGTTTGGTTTAGGCTAGTTGGTGATTATATCCTAATGTAAGAGCTATTTGCGTTTACTGTGGCCCAGTCGTATAATCCCGATTCTAGGCTTGTCACCCATGCTCGTGGGTTTCGTAGTGGTAAACGTCTGAGACCTGCATCCATTCGGGCTTTCATCTCACAATAAGCTGACACGCCGTAATTTATCTGGAATACTGTTAAAAGCAGCGTTAAAACTCACTCACTCACTATGCCCGAGATCACAGGTCGAGCTGTCTTGTATGATGAGAAAAGGTTGTTGCTTGCACATTTAACCCATATCAACATGTTAATATTCAGTTTTCAATGACCTGGCTCCTGGAAGTGTTGTGCAGTCTTTTCGTCTTTGTTGTTTTAATTATCACATTTTAAAGTAAAACACATCTTTTGTCGGGACCGCCTCCGTGGTCAGGTGGTCGGGCGTCCAGTCGGAGAGCGGACCTTACCCCTGACAAACCTTGTTGAGATGAGGTGAACTTTCGTTTAATGTCGCGTCCAAGATTATTGCACTTATATAGTGACGTGCATGTACGCGCGCGCGCGCGTGTGTGTGTGTGTGTGTGGGGGGGGGGGGGGGGGGGTGGTATGTGTATGTGTGTGTGTGTTACTGACTCCGACCAGTCCTTGTTTTAGCCCCTTAATGCCGAGCGCCAGACAGGGTAACAACAAGTACCCTCTTTTAAGGTCTTTGAGTATGACGCGTGCGGGGATCGAACCCCGGCCCGGATCTTCCGCTCTTCGGGGGACGCTCGACCACTAGACCACGGACGACACAGGTAATTGTAATGAAGCTACATGTACAGTAAGGATAAAAAAAGGTGGTTATCCACGCAGTTGTACGTTTTCATAGTTACTCGCCAACTTCAAGAATGCCAATCAGACAGTTCGTACTACTGATACCGTAAATAACACTACATGTGACTACCAGTCATATAGTACCGTTGCTTGGCAACGTACCTGCGGTAACGACAGTTGTCCATGGAGACGTTGTTTTCAAGTTCTACCATGACCCGTAGAAGAGACCTCTGTTGATGAGGTTGGTCTCGATGCAAACGGGTTCTACACTGGAAAGGTATAATTGACCGGCTTGCGAGGCGAGAAGTTTAGTTATAATTGATGTAACTTTGTTATGGTTACAGTTGTATTTGAACATTTGTATTAGTAATATAGGTAACGGTCTAGGGGAGACAATTCCGCTGGTCTTTACCTATGACAATGAGGTACGGTGAGTGATCGATATGTCCCTTTGAAAGAATAACAAATGGTGTCGCATAATGTTTGTTTGATGTTCAACGCCGCACTCAGCAATATTCCAGCTATATGACGGCGGTCTGTAAATAATCGAGTCTGGACCAGACAATCCAGTGATTGACATCATGAGCATTGATCCACGCAATTGGAATACGATGACATGCATCGACCAAGTGAGCGAGCCTGACCACCCGATCCCGTTAGTCGCCTCTTACCACAAGTTACTGAAGACCTATTCTAACCCGGATCTTCACGGATGAATAAAAGAAGTCACTGTGTAATTAAACAAGAAAAAATAATATGTATAAGGAGGAGAATGCCTTTCAAAGACCTCGTAGTCCTGTGGTGTACGGTGTATCTGCAGTTTATGAATAGCATTTCTCACAATATATACGGCAATCGGTGATTTTATTTTCGTTGTGTTGGCCTTGCCTTCAATCCTGGTAATGGTAAAAAATATGTTCAAGTGATGAAAGCATTTTTCTGTCGTTTCCGTCACATGTTTTCCTTGCCCCGGATCAATGTGTTTTGGCAAAGTCACACTTATCCGAAAGCTCGTCATGCCGAAGTCACTCGATCCGTTAAACTTGGCGGGTCTCAGTGACCCAGGATCCCTGTTGATTGGCATGTCAAGTGTCATTTGCATAAGGCCATCAATATTTTTTGCAAGCCCCATCTTACTAGAGAGCGGGCGGACGAAATGAAATACATTACATTACAAAAAAGTGTCTTTAAATAATTGTGTAAATTATTTTATGGCAGTATTAAATACCAGAATCTAGTCTGTGAATTAATTTATGATGTAGATCGAGTCGCTTTGCTTCGGAATCATTTTATTTTATAAACAACTGAAGAAAGAAAAGGTTGACCTGGTTCTTTTACGATAGTTCAGTGGTAGATCTAGTCGTATTTCTTTTGTCAGATCGGTGCGCAGTTTTCCCAGCGGCAGGAACATTGAGACCCGAAAACTTTATATTATTTCACGTCGGAATGGAGATAAAATACGGACAGCCTCACATACTACGAAACGATGTTCAGATACATATTTGTTCACATTAATTCTGTCAATCTGCGTGAACATGGATTTCAACATTATTTGCATCAAGCTTTTTCAGGTCGCTGGCTACACAGATCATCCTCTCTTGTAAACTACTTCTGTATGAACACATGTTTGGTCTCGAAGCTCTAAACAACAATGTTTCTATCAGATGCATTTTTTCTCCATCCATGACGAACATCTGTCATACTGTCAATGCCTTGACAATCTTCTGGTCAGTTGATTTTAACAAAATGAATGTAATACACACAGCCTGATTCACGGCCTCATCAGAAGATTCCTTCCAAATACCCACCACGGGAGTAGGGTTACGACCTTGGGATGAATTATTAAAATAATTTGCATTTTTAGAAAAGAAATGTTTTCGTGAATAGTATTTATTAAAAAACATCCTGTACATGGTAATTTTGGATTGCACTGCGGATTTCTTTATTACTTTCTAAGACTTTTTGTTTTCCCCTTTTCTGAGCACGCGATCTCCTAGCAACCACGCCAAATGAGCGGAACCAACTTAGATTGCTGCTCACAACTGTCAAGAACTTTACAAGTTCTCCTGTCTTCAATATGAGCAGAAAAAATACTTTCGTGTGACGCTTAATTTGACGGAGAGTTGTTCGAGATGATCAGTGAGCCTTTGGTCATTTCGATTATGACATTGGTGACTTTATCGTCGAGAAAGTTCCAATTCAAGATGACATGATTTCGATTTCAACTCGAATCGACAAGATGGCGCCTCTCTTCCGTCCTTGTAAGTGCAACAGAAACTTTCAGACAAATTCTGTGCAGATTCTTTGGATAAGTGAATCAGCGTCACAACGAGATTTTACTGTGGAGCCAGATGAACCCGAATATGTATGTTCACACTTCCTTGGTCAACCATGCGTGACACAGCACAGGCAATCGCAGTTGGGGAATGGCGCGGCCACCATGTTGCAGAAATCCGTCTGGACTGAGCTAGAGCAATGCCTCTGGACTTAGGTAGATAGACGGAAGAGTTGGAGAGATCGTAGATACTCGGACTTGAAGAAACGGATATTAAATGTTGCCGCAGTTGAGGGATTGGTGTGGACAAAACGGGAAAGGGATCCCGGATTGTATTTGAAAACTTGTGCGCGAAGTAAATCCCCGAACAAAAAAACATGGGACAAGTGTGGATCTGATGATTAAACTCAGTTTTGTGTGTGGAAATTCTGGGACAGAAATAGAAATACATAATAAAAGTTGTCTTGGAATATGTGTATTGAAGTTTTCGTTTATCGTAAGTACAATGTTTTCTAGATACGCCTAATGTATGTCAAATTATCTAGTGACGTATTTATCAGTTGCTTATGTGCATTGTTATGTTGATACACGTGACATATTCATATACTGAAGCTACGAAATATTGGCGCAACTCCCGGTGCTTCAAATGAGGCCCCTTCCTAAACACTAGTTGAAAAACGCGGTGTAATAATGTAAGTTTTATAAATATAATCTTATTATTGTGCGGTGTATGTCTAACTGTTGAATGCAAATTACCACAACTAAACAAATATCTGTAATTTTCGGATTGAACTGAAAGAATCTTGTCAGTTTCGTATTTATGTATCGTTACTGTTACATTAACCGAAACTGATGTTTTGCTGCTGTTCTGCCGTAAAAATATACAAAATACACTTTGACCACAAATGCATTGAATGTGTCACTTGTACACATGACCATGTGCTTTGCTATTTATAGCGCAACCGTAAACAAGCTCCGCCCACTGTGATTGATGCGATTTTTATGATAAAACTACAGAAAATGTATTGACTTTTGTCTAGATATGGAGCAATTTGTGATATTAAGGGTGTGTCATTCAAGTCGATACGAAGTTTGACGGTCAATGGTGATCTTGTTCCCGTATGGTTTTCAATAAGCTTCTCCCGACACTCGGTTGTGTTTACATTGTCAGTCATTGTTCGAAACTGAAACACCGCCACCTTGCGGGCTATTTATAGTCAGGATGGGGCTTTAAATTTCCAATCACCAAACAGTGGGCTTTGGTCTTTGTTGTTATTTTGGAGGGATTAATGACATAGTCGCTTTAACATTGTTTGCATACATTATTCAATCTTTATTTCACGTACTGAAGAGGCCACAGGCCTATAGTACAACTTGAAGAATATACCATTTTATACAATTTATGTACATATCTCACCAAATCACCTCACGTCATTCCACATCACAATTACTAAATGTCGCGGTGAGATATGGTTAACGCTAAGGCTGCGTAAGGAGTTGATTAAATTTGGTTTAAAATGGTCATGAAATCATGTCCGGGCGTGAAAAAATATTAACAGAGTTGTTTCGACTTCGTCAGATATTATCTAAGATATTTTGTTAATTTTCTCTACATTATTATCATTGTAAAGTTAAAAACATATAAACATTTCATGGCTTATATCCAGAAAAAAGAAATAGTATCATGTTTAAATATTAAATAATCAAAGATAATCATCAGATCCCCCAAAGTTTTAACATTTTTATCACTTATTGGTAGGTCAATTCATTATTCATATTCAGCATTCATGCTTTCAACATGGGATAACTTTCACTGAACTATTTATTTTATTTAGGAAAATCGCCTTCCCATTTTTAACATCACTGGATTGTCTGGTTCAGACTCGATTATTTACAGACCGCCGTCATATAGCTGGAATATTGCTGAGTGCGACGTTAAACAACAAACAAACAAACATTTTTAACAGTTTGACCATTTAATAGGTGTGTGTGTGTGTGGCAGCAATGGTTTTTGCTAGGACATCCATTTTTTTTCTAAAAGGGGAAGGAATGTATTTTCCTTCTATTGATAACAATCTCCTTGTCATGTCATTATATTTTATTTGTATGTTTGATTTTATTCTGTGGCATGGGAATAAGAGGAGACAATGGATACAGTTGACGAACACCCCGTGCTTAGCTCTTTTAATCACCTCTAGTCACCTCAATCAGAATTATCTGTTGTCTTTATGATGTTGTCATATTCATATATTTATATGAATCAAGGGACATCATATGCATAGGCTATTCCCCTGGCCCTCAATGCTGAATGTACGGGGTATGACCAAGAGAAATTCAGAAGTTCCACATGATTATGTGGGTCTTTGTGCAATGCCTGTTGTCTGATGGTTAGTAATTATCAAATTCTTGGGAAATACAAATATCTTCCAATTGGATTGTATTCAGAGGTACCATGCCAAGAGATGATGCATTTGATTGGCCTGCTGTTTTATGGATAGAGTTAAAAATGAATTCAGTTTGCGGAATGTATTGCTTGCGAAGTGATATCATAATCTGGATTGGTACAAACATTTCAGGCTGCCCGGTAGGTATGAAACAACCGTTGGTCCAACGTTGGCCCCACGTTGGCCCAACGTCTGGCTGTCAGCTGGATTAAGGTCCAAGAAAGCTCAATTTTAAAAAGCTTATAATGACTCTTGTTCAAAAGCTGAATGTGAGATTACATTTATTCTGCTGATCACATGGTGATTTCCACAAAACAACAATCTAAATGTACATGTAACTACACAATCCTGAATGATTTTCAATTTTATCTGCATATGAACATGACATGAATCATGAAAAAGCCTGAAATCAATAATTAGATGTGACTTGTTTGAAAATTATACTTGCAGCCGTCATAGTCCCTAAAATCACTTTACATTGACAAGCATGTCTCATGTTTTATACAGATGTCAATATGGAAAGGTTTCCTTTAACCTTTCTTCATATACTTTATCAAATCGCTCGCTCTGGGCCACAGTGAACCAGTTCTTCCAGTCACCAGTTGTACCTGTAACACATCATAGTTATGTAGTTTCATGAATATATTTGATATTCAGACTTGTATATTTCTCCATATCCTATAAAATATCGCAGTGCTGACTTGACTGATGTCAGCGATATGTCTTTAAACATCTAAACATCTGAGACAATATCAAACAGGTAGAGACTGCAAGCTAGAGACAGGTACCGAGCCTAAGTGATCTGGTCCAATTACCTTTTCTGAAGTATCCACTGGAACCATCTTGCCAGTGAACGTGGTAGGTTTGATCTTTAATTTTCTCGTTAGCGTGCTTGAGATTTTTGAAAGAGCAAGCATCGGATATTGCCTGGTATGTGTGATCCGATAGAGGGCGTCCCAGGTATTCTGCCATTCTTCTTACTTCGTTAACGCAATCCTTAACAAGGTGCAATTTCATTAGAAAGGTAAATGTCAAGTACTGACTGTCCATATCTTAATAAAAAAATCTACGTATGCAGTTTTTTGGGGGAGCGCGTATCTATGTTTTAAGTTATCTGTGTATATCAGATATTATTTTTGATACTGTAATATATCTAAGTACATCAGATCGTGATGTTGTATAGTGTTATATTTGCATGTACGATCTACTAATTTCGTATACATGAGACCTCGTGTGCCGTGTTCTGTTTGAACACTGGAAGTTCGTAATTTCATATAAAGCGAAGGCATTGTCGACCTATGTGTGTTTTCTGTCGAACTAAGGGGTGCTTTCTGTGCTTAAGTGATATTAACTTCCGATTGTGCAATTCGGAGAAGTCGAATCTTCAGCATCTTGAAACCATAAGCATAATGTACCTAGGAAATACAATCTAATACAAATATGAATAACATGTATACATTACAAATCAGAATTTCAAGAATTGATTTGTTACGTGACCGTGATCATGCGGGTAAAGTCTTAATTTTGATACGTAAATGTTTCAGCAAATATGCTGGTGAAAAATTATTATGTATATTCATAAGATTAACCATGAGGCATTTACTTGAGGAGGAAAAGGTTGGAGCTGCAAAAAAGTATACAAATAATTACTCTTGAGGAGGTCAATATCCGAAAACAAGGACGCGAGGACCCGACCTCAGATGTGCTCCGGTCAGACCGCCGAAGGGGTCGGGTCCGAGGGTCCTTGTTAATTTTTTTTATATTTTGTCAAGAGTAATCATGCGTTCTGTTATACCCAAATTCACTTTCTTTGTTTCATTACAGTAACGTAGCTGCGTACAGTACCAGGCGCCATCTTGTGTCAGTCACATGATATCGGGGTCTTCATTGAAATGTATCGTTTCGTCACTTGTACGATTCACCAATGTAATTGCAAGATTCGTAATAGGGCTATAATAAGGCAATGATAGCGCAACACAACGAAAGTATTTTCTGGAAGTGTTTGATGCATCTCTAAGCATCAATATATGCTCCCCATGCTTCCAGATTGTAACGAGCGTGGCCACTACCCTTATCATAATCCTTCACATTGATTTGGAATCATACATTTATTTTGAGCTGAAGTATTTATATTTATTTTGAATGGCGACAACCTGACTCAAATCGCCTTTTTTATTGCCATATCTATTAAATGGGATACATTTAGGAATTGTAGGAATATTAGTTTCTCAAGAATCGTCAATTTGGCAATACCTTTTTCATGTCTTCATACTGCAGTCTGCAAATTTCCATGTCTTTGTGAGCTTCAGAAAGGTTGGTCCACTCAATTGTGTGTTCGAAATACGGTCCACTAGGTACTTGAACATATCAACAGATACGCGTTAATGAATTATGCCAGTGGTGTGGATACTGTTAAACATACGTATATTGTGGGGATCTTGTTGTTGAAGGTGATGGCGAAATGTGAAGACAACGTGTGCAAATTCTCTCAACATGGTCAACCAGAACTATCAGTGATTAGCGGGCTTGGTATCTTGATATACAGAAATATTTCGAGACGCCAACAATCTAGCTAGATGTAGCTAAGAAGACATGGCAATTCGGTTTAAACAAAGCAATTTAACTGTACATTTAATATGCCACCTTTTCTTGGTAGACTTTTATACTTTATGAACAATAAATGGCACGCCCTTTTAAAAGGTAAACACTTACACCATCCATTGAGAAAAAGATCTATAAAGTCGTCCCAGATGCCGGTGTAGGAACGTTTCCCTAAAGGGTTGTCCTTCCAGATCTGTTTGCTGAAATGACTGAAGAACGACACCACGCAATCCTTCGCATTCCTCTTGGCGTACACCACCTTGCATCTTTGGTTCCACACTGCATCTGGTAGTTGGCTGAAGTCATGGTTTGCGTGATTACAGTTTTCAATTGGAGATGCAACTATTGTAAACCAACCGTAAAATAAAAAAAACATACATGGTAGATATTAACATATACACCTGGGAAAAAGGTTAAGCCTTGCCTGAGATATAACATGTCACAATTAATTTTCAATGTAATGAAAATTATGATTATGACAAGACTGGTGTCCCATCCGTACGAATGTGACCCTGAATGGTTTAACGTGACGACAAACTAACCAGTGTATGCACGTGCAGCATGCATTTCATGCAATCTCCAAATTGCAATATGTTCAGGCATCACATTTTGGGTATCTAAATACGATGTCTTGCAATGTTTCATCATTTCCTGTGAATATGACACAAAGAGAGATGTCAAATAATCTGAATACATTCCACAGGTTGTCCTCCAAAGCTATCGGGCGCCACGTGGACTACCATTACACAGTAGTCAGCCAAATGGTGAGAAGACATCCACAGACTTCTACAGTCAGGTCGACCTCCTATGATGTACCAGCGTTACGACAGGGTCCTCCTTCATTTAGTTTTTTGCAACGAGTCATGGTCTGAAGCAACAATGAATCCCCAAAGGACCTTGGGGAACCCTCTGAGAGTAGCAAGAATGACGTCCAAAAGAGCAATCAGTCGCCCTACTGGCAGAGATCACCATCAAAGGTTCCGTTTGGCATGGTGTTTAGCCCAATGGAATCTTGGAACTTAGCAGAAGGCCCATTGGTCGGACGAAAGCAAGTTCCTGCTCCATGTTTTCCAGGGTTTTCAAATTGGAGGCAAAGAAAAACGACATGTACATTCATGAACATCAGGTCAACTGTCCCTTATTGGGGGAAGCTCGGTATTGATTTGTACTGGACCTGGATCTGAGATGCCAGGAAACAAATAGTTGTTCCCCATTCCCCAAGTACTCAGTCCATGGAAGATGACGCCAGACCCTATCGTTCCCGCGTCGTGACAGTCGAAAGCAAGAACAACGCTGTTACGACTCTGCCTTGTCCCGCCATCTTAATCTGCTGGAACACATTTGTGACATTCTCGGAATCTTTACATCGAGGGTGACTGCAGTTACCCCTTCAGAAGATCCGATGGGAAGAGACGTGAAGGGCTTTCTCGCTACGGACTGTTTGAACTATGGGTGTTATTTAGGGAACTATAAGTGACATTTAGAAATATCTAGAAATAGCCAACAGAAATAGTTGTATGACCTCTGCAGAACCATACCCGAAAGAGTTGTGGGTTACAATATCGTAAATATAACCTAACCTCAGGTGTTGTCAAAATGTTGTTCTTACTTTCAAGAATCTCTGCACTTTTACACAGCAGTCGTCATTCAAAATATACATATAGTTCATAAAGGTGATTGTGTATGCATAGTATTTTGTTTCAATAAAAGCAGTGAATACGGTATTGTGTCACTGGATTTTCTGGTTCATTGATCACCTTGATTGTCGCATTGCAGGAGTACCGGTGTGTGGCCTTTTTTTCAATTTGTGAGTGGCGGGTGTTGTCGGTAAGGCAGGACATGCCAAACCTCTTCATGAACATCTGGTGTCATCACTGATTGTGTCAGTAACTTCATTCAAGCACTTTTTTAAATAGACATATAAAACGTGTCTAGGTGTTCTTACCTTTTTCCAGGCCTAGGTTTATATAATCTTTCGCCGTATTTCAAACACTATTTGACCGCCTCCGTGGTCTAGTGGTAGAGCGTCCCCCCGGAGAGCGGATGGTACGGGGTTCGATCCCCGGCCGCGTCATACCAAAAGACGTTAAAAGATGGTACTTGTTGTTACCCTGTCTGGCGCTCGGCATTAAGGGGCTAAAACAAGGACTGATCGGCTCGGAGTCAGTATACTGTGTCTGAGTGGGATATTCATGTTAAACTGCGGCATGGTATCTCAGTAGGCTAGCACTATAACTCGGCATCAGTCCGGACTAGTACAAGCAGCCACACACACACACACACATACACACACACACACACACACACACACACACACACGTGCATGCACGTCACTATATAAGTGAAATAATCTTGGATGCGACGTTAAACCCAAGTTCACCTCACCTCAAACACTATTTGGTGTTCGTTTTATGATTATTGTTTGGAATATGATCCTTTTTGTTATGATAAAAGTTTCGCTGATTTGCATTTAATTTGGTATCATATATTATGCCATACCTTGGACGCAGATGAGTGTGGAATATCCTTGGTGATGCCAGTTCCTCCAGTTCTTCCTGGGTTCTGTATTCGAGCCAGGCAGAATTCTGCCAATGTTTGACGTACTCAGCCTTGCCTGCAACGATCATGTTGAGGATCTCCCATGTCCAGTGAGTGCCTTGAGAGATGGTCACAGGAAATTCGTTATTTCACACATATCTATCCTCTAAAATGTGTATGTAAGTGATTCCACATATTTATTGAAAAATAAAATCAAGACATAGTCTGTCTATGGTGTGACAAGCATACCTATTTCTATGTAAATGAAGGATATCATAAAAAAAAACAGAAGTATTCTCAATAATCGTTCGTGTTTATATTGACTATTATTAATACGTCAATCTTCAGTTCCTGTTTCTCATTCAGTGAATTGACATGGTTTTGTATTAATCAGAACTATTTTGGAACGGATTTTTAAGACTTCATAATTTCAATCAATTGTGACGCCTATGTGAAATAGGAGACACATTTGTGTTTGTTTCCTATGTGAGAGCAAAGCCCCATGGAGGTGTTTTGACCTTTTAACCATTTATCAGTGTTGTTGATGTTATTGTGGTTTATTTTGTGCTTTTTAGGAGGAGGAGGGGGTTTGTCTTTTTTGTCGAAGGTACATGATGTTATTATTAACCATTTCCTTCAGAATATTACCTGACTTTGGGTACGTGCAAAGGAAAATATCATCGCCACGGATGGAGAGATCCTTTAACCTCTTCACGTTGTCCATTATCATAGCTAACAGCACAAATCCATCAATCATGACCAGGTCCATATTGATCCCTGTCGCCATTGACTTCTTCGCTGGAGTCGACATCTTAACTAGTTATAACATATTAAATTAACAGAAGTACATTTCTAACATGATCAAATATTAAGTCTAAAAGTTCTGCCACATATGAACAACCACGTTGGAGATTGAAATTAAGTTGGTCCTTTTTCATTGGCCAATAGCACCAGATGTGTACTACTTACTCTATACTAATGTGCATTACCATCAGGCTAGTCAAAAACACTAGATGTGTAGTACTTACAGTATACTACTGTGTTTCACTACAAGGCTGGTCAATCGCACTAGATGAGTACTACTTACTCGATACTGATGTGCATCACTATCAAGCTAGTCAATAACACTAGATGTGTAGTACTTACAGTATACTACTGTGTTTCACTACAAGGCTGGTCAATCGCACTAGATGAGTACTACTTACTCGATACTGATGTGCATCACTATCAAGCTAGTCAATAACACTAGATGTGTAGTACTTACAGTATACTACTGTGTTTCACTACAAGGCTGGTCAATCGCACTAGATGAGTACTACTTACTCGATACTGATGTGCATCACTATCAAGCTAGTCAATAACACTAGATGTGTAGTACTTACAGTATACTACTGTGTTTCACTACAAGGCTGGTCAATCGCACTAGATGAGTACTACTTACTCGATACTGATGTGCATCACTATCAAGCTAGTCAATAACACTAGATGTGTAGTACTTACAGTATACTACTGTGTTTCACTACAAGGCTGGTCAATCGCACTAGATAAGTACTACTTACTCGATACTGATGTGCATCACTACCAGGCTAGTCAATAACACTAGATGTGTAGTACTTACAGTATACTACTGTGTTTCACTACAAGGCTGGTCAATCGCACTAGATGAGTACTACTTACTCGATACTGATGTGCATCACTACCAGGCTAGTCAATAACACTAGATGTGTAGTACTTACAGTATACTACTGTGTTTCACTACAAGGCTGGTCAATCGCACTAGATGAGTACTACTTACTCTGTACTAATGTGCATCACTACCAGGCTAGTCAATAACACTAGATGTGTAGTACTTACAGTATACTACTGTGTTTCACTACAAGGCTGGTCAATCGCACTAGATGAGTACTACTTACTCGATACTGATGTGCATCACTATCAAGCTAGTCAATAACACTAGATGTGTAGTACTTACAGTATACTACTGTGTTTCACTACAAGGCTGGTCAATCGCACTAGATGAGTACTACTTACTCGATACTGATGTGCATCACTATCAAGCTAGTCAATAACACTAGATGTGTAGTACTTACAGTATACTACTGTGTTTCACTACAAGGCTGGTCAATCGCACTAGATGAGTACTACTTACTCGATACTGATGTGCATCACTATCAAGCTAGTCAATAACACTAGATGTGTAGTACTTACAGTATACTACTGTGTTTCACTACAAGGCTGGTCAATCGCACTAGATGAGTACTACTTACTCGATACTGATGTGCATCACTATCAAGCTAGTCAATAACACTAGATGTGTAGTACTTACAGTATACTACTGTGTTTCACTACAAGGCTGGTCAATCGCACTAGATAAGTACTACTTACTCGATACTGATGTGCATCACTACCAGGCTAGTCAATAACACTAGATGTGTAGTACTTACAGTATACTACTGTGTTTCACTACAAGGCTGGTCAATCGCACTAGATGAGTACTACTTACTCGATACTGATGTGCATCACTACCAGGCTAGTCAATAACACTAGATGTGTAGTACTTACAGTATACTACTGTGTTTCACTACAAGGCTGGTCAATCGCACTAGATGAGTACTACTTACTCTGTACTAATGTGCATCACTACCAGGCTAGTCAATAACACTAGATGTGTAGTACTTACAGTATACTACTGTGTTTCACTACAAGGCTGGTCAATCGCACTAGATGAGTACTACTTACTCGATACTGATGTGCATCACTATCAAGCTAGTCAATAACACTAGATGTGTAGTACTTACAGTATACTACTGTGTTTCACTACAAGGCTGGTCAATCGCACTAGATGAGTACTACTTACTCTGTACTAATGTGCATCACTATCAAGCTAGTCAATAACACTAGATGTGTAGTACTTACAGTATACTACTGTGTTTCACTACAAGGCTGGCCATAACTAGATGTGCACTACTCACTCTGTACTAATGTGCATCACTACAAGGTCTACGTATCACTGCAGGGCTTGTCAGTAACAATAGATGTTCACTAATAACTGCTGGACAAGTGACAAACATACAGTTTGTACTTGTTCCTGTACACTGCTCTGAACAACTGAGATGCGTGTCAATAACACTGGCGTGTGCTATCTTCCATTCGCCACTACTGTCAATCACTGTTAGACTAGTAAATACTATTTGAAGTGTACTGCCACTAGGTACGTCAACAACATTACGTTATACTCCTTGATGACCAGTACTGTCAGGCTAGCAGACTCGATGTGTTCTGACACTAGATTGGTCAACAACATTCCGTTATAGTCCGTGATGACCAGTACTGCCAGGTTAGCAGACTCGATGTGTACTGATCCTTGGTAGGTCAACAACTTTACGTTATACTCCTAGATGACCAGTATTGTTACTGACGAGTGAAATTTGGTAATGTCCACATGTCTACCATAAAACGTGTTCAGAGAAAGAGTCGTATGCCGCAGTTTTAAATCTTCGTTGTGAAATATAGACACCAAAGGCTGGAGTTGCTGGAATATCGCTCGATATAAAGTTGAAGTCATCCCTCTTGTCATACATTCTGTCATTTTCATTCTGAATCCTCGTCCATAGAGCTCAATGTGAAACAGATGAAGCGGTGTAACTGGTAGGTTCGGGTGGGAGAAATCAGTGGAAGGAAAACTGGTAGCTTCACCCTTACACTAGCTGAAACTACATTGTATTACTCAAATAACAGCACTGTGCGTCCTTAATAGAGTATCCCACAACTAATCAACGTCACATTTACTTACATGTCGCGGAGTCAGATCAGCGATAGTTCAATGCTCGTTTCAATGCATCATCCAAAATATGTTGCAGTCGCAATACCTCATCCGTTGGTCACAATCACATTATTCAGAAGCAGGTATGTGTTTACGTTAATAGATCCATAAACCAAAAACATATTGAGGGCAATTCGTACTTAGGAGAGACGTAATGAGCCTACTTTCACTGAATGTTGACATGACCATGACACTGCACATTCCGGGTTAGCCTGTGCTGACATGGCTAACAAAGAACCCAGGCCGAAATGAAGTGTGTGGTAGTAGGGCGTTAATAAATCATACATCTATAACTTCAATAGGGATGTTGACGAGGTAAATAGCTTTGTTAGATACAGAGCTACTCAGCTGGCTGACGTTAGAAGACATAGCGAGATGGTAAAGGCTTGGCGAGACTGTACATACCAGAGCTCTAATTTATGGACATGTCACTACACTGAGCAGAACATCCATAACATAAGTAAAATTCATTATATTTTGCAAAACATTCAGTATATTTCGTTTTAACATTGATTGATTAACCTGCCTGCAAATTTCAAAATGGACATAGAAACAAATTCAATCCTAAAATAGTGTATTTTAGTGACATTCCAAAATTATTAAAAACTGAACCCATATGGGTGTTAGTTACTAATACATTAATTTACTACAGATACGTTTTTTGTGTGAATTATATTGCGTACATATATATTACAGTGTCTTTGTATAATAATAAACATGTATCGTATTCAGTGGTACAAATAGCTAAATATTGAAATTACTGTTAATGTGACTTACCATATACAGTATCTGCAGTATCCAATAGGTTGAACCTCGTACAGTGTCCTTCTCGAATCACTATTTTTCGCAATAAATCGCATATCACATGTATCACAGACAATCCATGGTAAATACATCCACCGAGGTAATCCATTGCATTCTCCTCTTCAACTGAATACGTCACTGAACAGCAAGTACATGCCCAACACTATTTTCCCTTGCTGTGTGCATCCAGGTACCACCAACAGTTTGTCAATTTTGCTGGCATCGTATATTGCTGCCCTGTCTCCCTGTCGCCTCCCTACCTTCCAGTAACACTCTCCGTTTGTAATTTAGAAGTCGCCGATATCAATGACAATTTTAATGGATGACAGATGATATTGTCTTGCTGAGTATAGATGCCATAAGGATCCAAAATATCCTTGCAATAATTATCACAAAGTTTAAGAGCTGTATTTTATGACGTAAGTTTTGACTGTCCACAAATTTTACACTAGTAATTAAAACTTTTCTTAATGTTGAGGATAAGACATACTCATTTTACTTTCACATTAATTTACTACAAATACATATTTTGTGGGAAATATATTGCGTACAATCATATTGCAGTGTCTTTGTATAATGATAAACATGTATCATATTCAGTGGTACAAATAGCTAAATATTGAAATTACTGTTAATGTGACTTACCATATACAGTATCTGCAGTATCCAATAGGTTGAAACTCGTACAGTGTCCATTCCGAATCATTTTTTTTCGCAATAAATCGCATATCACATGTATCACAGTTTCCAATCACCAAACAGTGGGCTTTGGTCTTTGTTTTTTTTTTGAGGGGTTGATGACATTGTCGCTATAACATTGTTTTCATACATTGTTATAAGAAATTACTAAATGTCGCGGTAAGATATGGTTAACGCTCAGGCTGCGTATTGAGTTGATCAAATTTGGTTTAAAATGGTCATGTAATCATGTCCGGGTGTGAAAAAATATAAACAGAGTTGTTTCGACTTCGTCTGATATTATCCAAGATATTTTGTTATTTTTCTCTACATTAATATCATGGTAAAGTTTAAAACCTATAAACATATCCGGGTGCATATCCAGTTAATAGTATCATATTTCAATATTAAATAATCAAAGATAATTATCAGATCAAAAGTTTTAACACTTTTATTACTTATTGGTAGGTCAATTCATTATTCATATTCAACATTCATGCTTTCAACAAGGAATAGTTTTCACTGAACTATTAATTTTACTTAAGAAACTCGCCTTCCCATTTTTAACTGTTTGACCATTTAATAGGTGTGTGTGCGTTTGCATGTGTGTGTGGCAGCAATGTTTTTTGCTAGGACATCCATTTTTTTCTAAAAGGGGAAGGAATGTAATTTTCCTTCCATTGATAATAATGTCCTGTCATGTCATTATATTTATTTTGTATGTTTGATTTTCTTCTATGGCCTGGGAATAAGAAGAGACAATGTATACAGTTGAAGATCACCCTTTGATTGGCTCTTCTTATCACCTCTGTTGGCTTTATGATGTTGTCATATTCATATATTTATATGAATCAAGAGAAATTCAGATGTTCCACATGATTATGTGGGTCTTAATGCAATGCCTATTGTCTGATAATTAGTAATTATCAAATTCTTGGGAATACAAATATCTTCCAACTGGATTGGATTCAGAGGTAACCTACCAAGAAATGCCGCATTTGATTGGCCTGCTGTTTCATGGATAGAGTTAAAAGTGAATTCAGCTTGCAGAATGTATTGCTTGCGAAGTGATATCATAATTTGGATTGGTACAAACATTTCAGGCTGCCCGGGAGGTATAAAACAACCGTTGGACCAACGTCAGGCTGTCAGCTGGATTAAGGTCCAAGAAAGCTCAATTTTATACCACCATTCCACTGACCAACTGAACCTGATCTGAAGCCCATCTGATCCCATTTTTGCAAACATTTCAGCATTCCAGTGAACATTTCAATTCACCCGACATTCTCTTTTTTGAGTCCCCGTTTACCTTAAAATCCGATAGAGATCCAACATTGATCGGGGTAATCGAATGAAAGACTGGTAGCGGCCGATGTCTGTGCGCAAGTTTCATCAGCGGCGTCCGATTGATCCGATTGCGGTCGGATTGTTATTCGAGGCTGACCTGACACTAATCTGACACTTCCATCACTCTCCCGACACCAACCCGACACATCGGTTACTATTCGTAGGGTAATCGGACACTGACCCAATACTGGTCGGATTTGTCGCCAAAATCTGCAGTCGATTATAAAAGCGGGCTCCACCTCCTGACAGAACTAGACATTGAGCAACTTTTTCGCACCGCTGCAGCCCTAGGCTGTGTTTTAATGCTCCAGCAACAAACAATGCAACAAGATGCAACAAGAGTGTGGTTGAGCAGTGATTGGGGCCTGCATAGGCTTATTCTCTGCATCTACAGGAGGAGGCACAGAGGAGTCTTCTGGCCATCTTCAGGATCTTGGTGCTGTAGTGTCCGATAAAAATCAGTGAGTGTCGGCTAACCTCCTTTCATAGTCAGTTGGCCGTCAGATGTCTCCGCTTGCTATGCGATATCAGTCGGGTGGCAGTTGAGTTAATGAGCGATTACCCTCCGATGTCACAATGGATAGCAATCGGACGGTGCTAAATATCATGTTTTCCTCCGATGAGAATCGAATTGGTGATGGGCGGCTGACCGCAGATTGCAATCAGATGAGCGTCAGATGACTGTTAATTATCGGACACTCATCTGATTGCCGTCAGTCGTCGGCTAGACACGTCCGATAGTTGCACAATACGAGTCTGACACACATCGGACTGGCTCGACATTCATCCGACACTGACTCGATTTGCGACCGGAAATGGCGTCCAATGGCGAACTAAGCTCTGAGCCTAGTTCCTTCATCGGACGATTTCGCCCGATCGGATCAAGCCCGACACGTCGGACACTGATCTGATAGTGGACAAACAGAAATCGGATTCATCGAAGTTTGATACGTTACTCTTCGGTGGGTTATCGGAAGTAAAGAACTTTGCTTCTAATGAGTGACCCATGAGCCAAAATTCTCTGTGGCATAATGACTCTTGTTCTAAAGCTGAATGTGAGATTAAATTTATTCTGCTGATCAGATGGTGATTTCCACAAAATTGTCAGTTAACACATGAACAACAATCTAAATGTACATGAAACTACACAATCCTGAATGATCTTATATTTTATCTGCATATGAAAATAACATGTATCATGAAAAAGCCTGAAATCAATAATTAAATGTGATTTTTTGAAAATTATTCATGCAACCGTCATAGTCCCTAAAATCACTTTACATTGACAAGCATGTCTCATGTCTTATACAGATGTCAATATGGAAATGTTTCCTTTAACCTTTCTTCATATACTTTATCAAAACGCTCGCTCTGGGCCACAGTGAACCAGTTCTTCCAGTCACCAGTTGTACCTGTAACACATCATAGTTATGTAGTTTCATGAATATATTTGATAATCAAACGTGTATATTTCTTCATATCCTATAAAATATCGCAGTGTTGACTTGACTGATGTCAGCGATATGTCTTTAAACATCTAAACATCTGAGACAATATCAAACAGGTAGAGACTGCAAGCTAGAGACAGGTACCTAGCCTAAGTGATCTGGTCCAATTACCTTTTCTGAAGTACCCACTGGAACCATCTTGCCAGTGAACGTGGTAGGTTTGATCTTTAATTTTCTCGTTAGCGTGCTTGAGATTTTTGAAAGAGCAAGCATCGGATATTGCCTGGTATGTGTGATCCGAGAGAGGGCGTCCCAGGTATTCTGCCATTCTTCTTACTTCGTTAACGCAATCCTTAACAAGGTGCAATTTCATTAGGAAGGTAAATGTCAAGTACTGAATGTCCATATCTTAATATTTTTAATTTTAATTTTGTTATGTATCTACGTATGCAGTTTTTGGGGGGAGCGCGTATCTACAGTATGTTTAAAGTTATCTGTGTATATCAGATATTATTTTTGATACTGTAATATATCTAAGTACATCAGATCGTGATGTTGTATATTGTTATATATGCATGTACGATCTACTAATTTCATGTACATGAAACCTCGTGTACCGTGTTCTGTTTGAACACTGGGAGTTCGTAATTTCATATAAAGCGAAGGCATTGTCTACCTATGAGTGTTTTCTGTCGAACTAATTAAGGCGTGCTTTCTGTGTATATGTGATATTAACTTCCGATTGTGCAATTCGGAGAAGTCGAATCTTCAGCATCTTGAAACCATAAGCATAATATGCCTAGGAAATACAATCTAATACAAATATGAATAACATATATATGTTTACACATTACAAATCAGAATTCAAGAATTGATTTGTTACGTGACCGTGATCATACTGGTTAAGTCTTAATTTTGATACGTAAATGTTTTAGAAAAGATGCTGGTGAAATAATATTATGCATATTTTCTAAATTCATAAGATTAACCATTAGGCATTTACTTGTGGAGGTAAAGGTTGGAGCTGCAAAATAGTATACAAATAATTACTCTTGAGGAGGTCAATATCCGAAAACAAGGACCCGAGGGCCCGACCTAATGTGCTCCGGTCAGACCGCCGAAGGGGTCGGGTCCGAGGGTCCTTGTTAAATTTTTTTTTTATTTTGTCAAGAGTAATCATGCGTTTTGTTATACCGAAATTCACTTTCTTTGTTTCATTACAGTAACGTAGCTGCGTACAGTACCAGACGCCATCTTGTGTCAGTCACATGGTATCGGGGTCTTCATTGAAATGTATCGTTTCGTCACATTGTACGGATTCACCAATGTAAATGCAAGATTCTTAATAGAGGTATAACAATGCCCAATAACGCAATGATAGCGCAACACAAAGAAAGCATATTCTGGAAGTGTTTGATGCATCTCTTAGCATCAATATATACTCCCCGTGCTTCCAGATTGTAACGAGCGTGGCCACACCCCTTATCACAATCCTTCACATTGATTTGGAATCATACTTTTATTTTGAGCTGAAGTATGTATATATATTTTGAATGGCGACAACCTGATTCAAATCGCCTTTTTTATTACCATATCTATTAAATGGGATACATTTAGGAATTGTAGGAATATTAGTTTCTCAAGAATCGTCAATTTGGCAATACCTTTTTCATGTCTTCATACTGCAGTCTGCAAATTTCACTGTCTTTGTGAGCTTCAGAAAGGTTGGTCCACTCAAATGTGTGTTCGAAATACGGTCCACCGGGTACTTGAACATATCAACAGAAACTCGTTTATGTATTATGGCAGTGGTGTAAATACTGTTAAACATACGTATGTTGTGGTGATCTTGTTGTTGAAGGTGATGGCGCAATGTGAAGACAACGTGTGCAAATTCTCTCAACATGGTCAACCAGAACTGTCAGTGATTAGCGGGCTATGTATCTTGATATACAGAAATATTTCGAGACGCCAACAATCTAGCTAGATGTAGATAAGAAGACATGGTAATTCGGTTTAAACAAAGCAATTTAACTGTACATTTAACATGCCACCTTTTCTTGGTAGACTTTTATACTTTATGAACAATAAATGGCACGCCCTTTAAGGTAAACACTTACACCATCCATTGAGAAAAAGATCTATAAAGTCATCCCAGGAGCCGGTGTAGATATGTTTCCCTAAAGTGCTGTCCTTCCAGATCTGTTTGCTGAAATGACTGAAGAACGACACCACGCAATCCTTTGCATTCCTCCTGACGTACACCACCTTGCATCTTTGGTTCCAAACTGCATCTGGTAGTTGGCTGAAGTCATGGTTTGCGTGGTTACAGTATTCAATTGGAGATGCAACTATTGTTAACCAACCGTAAAATAAATAAAAATACATACATGGTAGATATTAACATATACACCTGGGAAAATATAACATGTCACAATTAATTTTAAATGTAATGAAAATTATGATTATGACAAGACTGGTGTCCCATCCGTACGAATGCGACCCTTAATGGTGTAATGTGACGACAAACTAATCAGTGTATGCACGTGCAGCATGCATTTCATGCAAACTCCAAATTGCAATATGTTCAGGCATCAACTTTTGGGTATCTAAATACGATGTCTTGCAATGTTTTATCATTTCCTGGGAATATGACACAAAGAAAGATGTCAAATAATCAGAATACATTCCACAGGTTGTCCTTCAAAGCTATCGGGCGCCACGTGGACTACCACTACACAGTAATCAGCCAAATGGTGAGAAGACATCCACAGACTTCCACAGTCAGGTCGACCTCCTATGATGTACCAGCGTTACGACAGGGTCCTACTTTATTCAGTTTTTTGCAACGAGTCATGTTCTGAAGCAACAATGACTTCCCACAGGACCTTGGGGAACCTCCTGAGAGTAGCAAGAATGACGTCCAAAAGAGCAATCAGTTGCCCTACAGGCAGAGATCACTATCAAAGGTTCCGTTTGGCATGGTGTTTAGCCCAATGGAATCTGGGAATCTAGTAGAAGGCCCATTGGTCGGACGAAAGCAAGTTCCTGCTCCATGTTTCGCCTGGACGACTGAAGGTTTTCAAATTGGAGGCAAAGAAAAACGACATATACATTCAGGAACATCAGGTCAACTGTCCCTTATTGGGGGAAGCTCGGTATTGATTTGTACTGGACCTGGATCTGAGATACCAGGAAACAAATTGTTGTTCCCCATTTCGACCACCACACACCTGTGACAAGTACTCAGTTCATGGATGATAACGCCAGACCCTATCGCTCCCGCGTGGTGACAGTCGAAAGCCAGAACAACGCTGTTACGACTCTGCCTTGTCCCGCCATCTTAATCTGCTAGAACACATTTGTGACATCCTCGGGATCTTTACATCGAGGGTGACTGCAGTTGCCCCTTTAGAAGATCCGATGGGAAGAGACGTGAAGGGCTTTCTCACAACTGACTGTTTGAACTATGGGTGTCATTTAGGAACTCTAAGTGACACTTTTATCTAGAAATAGCCAACAGAAATAGTTGTATGACCTCTGCAGCACCATACCTGAAAGAGTTGTGGGTTACAATATCGTAAATAAAATCTAACCTCATGTGTTGTCAAAGGGTTGTTCTTACTTGAATCTCTGCACTTTTACACAGCAGTCGTAATTCAAAATATACATATAGTTCATAAAGGTCATAGTGTATGCATAGTATTTTGTTTCAACAAAAGCAGGGAATACGGTATTGTGTCGCTGGATTTTCTGGTTCATTGATCACCTTGATTGTCGCATTGCAGGAGTACCGGTGTGTGACATTTTTTGCAATTTGTGAGTGGCGGGTCATGGCAAGGCAGGACATGCTAAACCTCTTCATGAACATCTGGTGTCATCACTGATTTTGTCAGTAACTTCATTCAAGCACTTGTTTAAATGGACATAGAAAACGTGTCTAGGGGTTGTTACCTTTTTCCAGGTTTATACAATATTTCGCCGTATTTCAAACACTATTTCATGTTCGTTTTATGATTATTGTTTGGAATATGATTCTTTTTGTTATGATAAAAAATTCGCTGAATTGCATTTAATTTTGTATCATATATTATGCCCTACCTTGGACGCAGATGAGTGTGGAATATCCTTGGTGATGCCAGTTCCTCCAGTTCTTCCTTGGTTCTGTATTCGAGCCAGGCAGAATTCTGCCAATGTTTGGCGTACTCGGCCTTGCCTGTCACAATCATGTTGAGGATCTCCCACGTCCAGTGAGTGCCTTGAGAGATGGTCACAGGAAATTCGTTATTTCAGACATATCTATACACCTCATCAGGCACATCCTCTAAAATGTGTATGTAAGTGATTCCACATATTTATTGAAAAATAAAATCAAGACATAGTCTGTCTATGGTGTGACAAGCATACCTATTTCTATGTAAATGAAGGATATCATAAAAAAAACAGAAGTATTCTCAATAATCGTTCGTGTTTATATTGACTATTATTAATACATCAATCTTCAGTTCCTGTTTCTCATTCAGTGAATTGACATGGTTTTGTATTAATCAGAACTATTTTGGAACGGATTTTTAAGACTTCATAATTTTCAATCAATTGTGACGCCTATGTGAAATAGGAGACACATTTGTGTTTGTTTCCTATGTGAGAGCAAAGCCCAATTGCAATGGAGGTGTTTTGACCTTTTAATCATTTATCAGTGTTGTTGATTTTTATGTGGTTTTGTGGGTTTGTCTTTTTTGTTGAAGGTACATGATGTTATAATTAACCATTTCCTTCAGGATATTACCTGACTTTGGGTACGTGCAAAGGTAAATATCATCGCCACGGATGGGGAGATCCTTTAACCTCTTCAAGTTGTCCATTATCATAGCTGACTGCACAAATCCATCAATCATGACCAGGTCCACATTGATCCCTGTCGCCATTGCCTTCTCCGCTGGAGTCGACATCTTAACTAGTTATAACATATTAAATTAACAGAAATACATTTCTAACATGATCCAATTTTAAGTCTAAAAGTTATGCCACAAATGAACAAACTCATTGAAGATTGAAATTAAGTTGGTCCTTTTTCATTGGCCAATAGCACTAGATGTGTACTACTTACTCTATAACATGTGCATCACTATCAGGCTAGTCAATAACACTAGATGTGTAGTACTTACAGTATACTACTGTGTTTCACTACTAGGCTGGCCACTACTAGACGTGTACTACTCACTCTGAACTAATGTGCATCACTACAAAGTCTACGTATCACTGCTGGGCTAGTCAGTAACACTAGAGGTTCAATAATTACTGCTGGACAAGTGACAAACATGCTATTTGTACTTGTTCCTGTACACTGCTCTGAACCACTGAGACGCGTGTCAATAACACTGGGGTGTGCTATCTTCTGTTCGCCACCGGTGCCTACTCCACACTATATACTACCGCAATCACTGTTAGACTAGTGAATACTATTAGATGTGTACTGACCCTAGGTAGGTCAACAACATTACGTTATACTCCTTGGTGACCAGTACTGTCCGGCTAGCAGACTCGATGTGTACTGCCCCTATAGGTAGGTCAACAACATTACTTTATACTCCTTGATGACCAGTACTGTCCGGCTAGCAGACTCGATGTGTACTGCCCCTATAGGTAGGTCAACAACATTACTTTATACTCCTTGGTGACCAGTACTGTCCGGCTAGCAGACTCGATGTGTACTGCCCCTATAGGTAGGTCAACAACATTACGTTATACTCCTTTGTGACCAGTACTGTCCGGCTAGCAGACTCGATGTGTACTGCCCCTATAGGTAGGTCAACAACATTACTTTATACTCCTTGATGACCAGTACTGTCCGGCTAGCAGACTCGATGTGTACTGCCCCTATAGGTAGGTCAACAACATTACTTTATACTCCTTGGTGACCAGTACTGTCCGGCTAGCAGACTCGATGTGTACTGCCCCTATAGGTAGGTCAACAACATTACGTTATACTCCTTGGTGACCAGTACTGTCCGGCTAGCAGACTCGATGTGTACTGCCCCTAGGTTGGTCAACAACTGAAAACGACTTAAAACCGTCCTTTTTAACATAAGAAATCCCTTCTAAAAGCAGAGTCCAATGTATAATTCCGTTTATGTCATAAACATGTCTTTGTGAATCACTATCAAATAGTGATGTTAGCAGGTCTTCCAAAAAAAGGTGAGCGCATCCTGCTTGACAGATGGTACCTGACACAGACACATGCAAAGGTAAGTCCGATGATCACATAAACATGAGTATGATAATATGGTACAAGTCAAAATAGTGAATTGTGTATTCTGCCTGACGAGTTAAATTTGGTAATGTCCACACATCTACCATAAAACGTGTTCAGAGAAAGAGTCGTATGCCGCTGTTTGAAATCTTCGTAGAAAGGGCATGCTCGATTTTACCTCAATCGTTGTGAAATATAGACACCCAAGGCTGGAGTTGCTGGAATATCGATCGATATAAAGTTAACTATTTGAAAGTTGAAGTCATCCCTCTTGTCATACATTCTTGTGGATAGTTGTTTTTTTTCATTCTGGATCCTCGTGCATAGAGCTAAATGTGAAACAGATGAAGCCGTGTAACTGGTAGCTTCAGGTGGGAGAAATCAGTGGAAGGAAAACTGGTTGCTTCACCCTTACACTAGCTGAAACTACATTGTATTACTCAAATAACAACACCATGCGTCCTTAATAGGCTATCCCACAACTAATCAACGTCACATTTTACTTACATATCGCGGCGTCAGATCAGCGATAGTTCAATGCTCGTTTCAATGTGTATCATCTAAAATATGCTGCTGTTGCCATACCTCATCCGTTTGTCACAATCACATTATTCAGAAGCAAGTACACCATGGGTCTTCGTAAATATGAATAGGCAAATATATCTTCCTGTGTCTACATTGCAGTATCTCTCGTACTCAATACTTATTGTACTTTGAACAGATATGGAAAGGTAGGGAAAAATCATATATTTGATTGGTTGTTTCTTGTTAATTGCCGCACTCAGCAATTTTCCAGCCTTATGACGGCGGTATAATCGTATAGATAAATGATATGATAATGATTGTATGTTAATGGATAAAGACCTCAGGCAGTAGTTAAATTAACATAATGGCAAGATAATTGTGAAACAATATTTATCCATACATTAATTATTTTCTTTCATACAATTACGTATTGATCAACCTAGAACAGTTATTTAGTAAAGCGACATTGTTAGTGAGAAGAAAATTATAAAATACAGTTTTCCACACCAGTGTTTACGTTAATAGATCCATAAACCAAAAACAAATTGAGGGCAATTCGTACTTACGAGAGACGGAATCAGCCTACTTTCACTGAATGTTGACATGACCATGACACTGCACATTAGCCTGGGCTGACACGGCTAGCAAAGAACCCAGGCCGAGGTGAAGTGAGTGGTAGTAGGGCATTAATAAATCATACATCAATAGGGATGTTGACAGGGTAAATAGCCTTGTCAGATACAGAGCTACTCAGCTGGATGCCATGAGAAGACATGGCGAGATAGTAAAGCCTTGGCGAGACTGTACATACCAGAGCTCTAATTTATGGTCATGTCCTTGTTTGACCAATACTGTCAGGCTAGCAGACTCGATGTGTCCTGCCCCTAGGTAGGTCAACAACATTACGTTATACTCCTTGATGACCAGTACTGTCAGGCTAGCAGACTCGATGTGTACTGACCCTAGGTAGGTAAACAACATGACGTTATACTCCATGATGACCATTAGTGTCAGGCTAGCAGACTCGATGTGTACTGCCCCTAGGTACGTCAACAACGTGACGTTATACTCCTTGATGACCAGTACTGTCAGGCTTGCAGACTCGATGTGTACTGACCCTAGGTAGGTCAACAACATGACGTTATACTCCTTGATGACCAGTACTGTCAGGCTAGCAGACTCGATGTGTACTGTACCTAGGTAGGTCAACAACATTACGTTATACTCCATGATGACCATTAGTGTCAGGCTAGCAGACTCGATGTGTACTGCCCCTAGGTAGGTCAACAACATGACGTTATACTCCTTGATGACCAGTACTGTCAGGCTAGCAGACTCGATGTGTCCTGACCCTAGGTCGGTCAACAAGTGAAAACGACAAAAAGCCGTCCTTTTTAACATAAGAAATCTCTTCTAAAAGCAGAGTCCAATGTATAATTCCGTTTATGTCATAAACATGTCTTTGTGAATCACTATCAAATAGTGATGTAACCAGGTCTTCCAAAAAAAGGTGAGCGCATCCTGCCTGACAGATGGTACCTGTCACAGACACATCTAAAGGTAAGTCCGATGATCACATTAAAATGTGTATGATAATATGGTACAAGTCAAAATAGGGAATTGTGTATTGTTATGGCAATGTCCACATGTCTACCATAAAACGTGTTTAGAGAAAGAGTCGATTTTACCTCAATCGTTGTGAAATATAGACACCAAAGACTGGAGTTGCTGGAATATCGCTCGATATAAAGTAAACTATTTGAAAGTTGAAGTCATCCCTCTTGTCATACATTCTTGTGGATAGTTTTTCTTTTCATTCTGAATCCTCGTGCATATAGCTAAATGTGAAAGAGATGAAGCCGTGTAACTGGTAGCCTCAGGTGGGAGAAATCAGTGGAAGGAAAACTGGTTGCTTCACCCTTACACTAGCTGAAACTACATTGTATTACTCAAATAGCAACACTGTGCGTCCTTAAAAGACTATCCCACAACTAATCAACGTCACATTTTACTTACATATCGCGGCGTCAGATCAGCGATAGTTCAATGCTCGTTTCAATGTGTATCATCTAAAATATGCTGCAGTCGCCATACCTCATCCGTTGGTCACAATCACATTATTCAGAAGCAGGTATGTACGCCATGTGCCTTCATAAATATGAATAGGCAACTATATCTTCCTGTGTCTACATTGCAGTATCTCTCGTACTCAATACTTATTGTACTTTGAACAGATATGGAAAGGTAGGGTATAATTATATATTTGATTGGTTGTTTCTTGTTAATTGCCGCACTCAGCAATTTTCCAGCCTTATGACGGCGGTATAATCGTATAGATAAATGATATGATAATGATTGTATGTTAATGGATAAAGACCACAGGCAGTAGTTAAATTAACATAATGGCAAGATAATTGTGAAACAATATTTATCCATACATTAATTATTTTCTTTCATACAATAACGTATTGATTAACGTAGCACAGTTATTTAGTAAAGCGACAGTGTTAGTGAGAAGGAAAATTATAAAATACAGTTTTCTACACCAGTGTTTACGTTAATAGATCCATAAACCAAAAACATATTGAGGGCAATTCGTACTTACGAGAGACGGAATCAGCCTACTGTCAGTGAATGTTGACATGACCATGACACTGCACATTAGCCTGGGCTGACACGGCTAGCAAAGAACCCAGGCCGAGGTGAAGTGAGTGGTAGTAGGGCGTTAATAAATCATACATCAATAGGGATGTTGACAGGGTAAATAACCTTGTCAGATACAGAGCTACTCAGCTGGATGCCATGAGAAGACATGGCGAGATAGTAAAGCCTTGGCGAGACTGTACATACCAGAGCTCTAATTTATGAACATGTCACTACACTGAACAGAACATCCATGATAAAAGTAAAATTCATTATATTTTGCAAAACATTCAGTATATTTCGTTAAAAATTGATTGATTAACCTGCCTGCAAATTTCAAAATGGAAATAGAAACAAATTCAATCCTTAAATAGTGTATTTTAGTAACATTTAAAAATTATTAAAAACTGAACCCAAATGGGTGTTAGTTACTTTCACATTAATTTACTACAAATACATTTTTTGTGGGAAATATATTGCGTAAAATCATATTGCAGTGTCTTTGTATAATAATAAAGGGGCGGTCGGGTAGCCTAGTGGTTAAAGCGTTCGCTCGTCACGCCGAAGACCCGGGTTCGATTCCCGACATGGGTACAATGTGTGAAGCCCATTTCTGGTGTCCTTCGCCGTGATATTGCTGGAACATTGCTAAAAGCGGCGTAAAACCTCACTCACTCACTTGTATAATAATAAACATGTATCAGATTCAGTTGTACAAATAGCTAAATATTGAAATTACTATAAATGAGACTTACCATATACAGTATCTGTAGGATCCAATAGGGTGAAGCTCGTAGTGTCCTTTCCGAATCACTATTTTTCGCAATAAATCGCATATCACATGTATCACAGACAATCCATGGTAAATACACCCACCGAGGTAATCCATTGCAGTCTCCTCTTCAACTGAATATGTCACTGAACAGCAAGTACATGCCCAACACTATTTTCCCTGTTTGCATCCAGGCACCACCAACAATTTGTCAATTTTGCTGGCATCGTATATTGCTACCCTGTCTCCCTGTCGCCTCCCTACCTTCCAGTAACACTCTCCGTTTGTAATTTAGAAGTCGCCGATATCAATGACAATCTGAACGGATGACAGATGATATTGTCATTCCTAGTATATGATGCCATACAGATCCAAAATATCCTTGCAATAATTATCACACAGTTTTAAAGCTGTATTTTATGACGTAAGTTTTGACTGTCCACAAATTTTACACTAATAATTAAAACTTTTCATAATGTTCAGGATAAGATATACTCATTTTACCGTACAACCAAGTAAACGTGGTAAATATTCCAAATTGAAACGATCCTCTATCAATCTTTCCGAGGCAAGTGCTCAAAATGAATAATGGATGTAAAGAGGGTCCCTATACCTTTAAATAAGCTTTTCAGTGTCATGAAACTTGAACCACATGCACTCCGGTCGGGAATGTTAGAATAAACATAAGTGTTTCACATCCGCTGTATTCAACGGGAACACTACGTCAATGGAGCAATAGGGTTTGAAAAAACATTAGTTTTTGAAAGAAATGTGATTTGTTCTCCCATCAAGGGAGAATATATCATGACGTCGCAAAAATGAAAAACGCAAGTTTTGTTATGTTTGTAGCTGACCCAACAATCACCCCACGTATGTACACTAAATCCTGTCCATTCGCTATCAGTCTTTTTCGCTTCCTCATCATGTGTTCTCTGTCCATCATCTGGTTACAGTATCACCCTTCTGTTGTCATTGTTTGACCTACTGACGTTAATCTCTCTGATGAATGCAATTAGCGTTTCTGTTAACCCCCCAACTACTATACATATTCTGTACCATGCTCATTATTCATCCTTGCTTGACAACGGTATAAGGATCTATACCGAATCGTCGCCTTTACAGTAAAATAATGAAGTTGCTATCCATAAAATTAATTTGTAATTTGTCATCCGTCAACTTTTAAGAAATGCCTATCAAACAATTCAGCTGACCTAAGGTTAAAAGTGGTACGATACGTTGTTTATTGAGTGTGACGTGAAGTTGACGTAGAAAAGCATGTAAGATTGTTAGTGAATGTTGCTGTGATAGTCGCAAGTTTTAAACAACATTTCACTCCTCAGCAACAACGAACTGCGCAAACTCGAAGGGCTGAGTGAGTATCGACTGTTTTATCTATGCCAGGCGAGCACAGATGCTTTATTTGTTTCATATGTTAATGACTAGACAAATTCACTAAAACACCATGCGATGTTGTCATCAAGTTGAATGTCAAAAAAAAAAGACCAAAAAATGTTCAATGTCCTTCACTCATGTATACTACGAAAGAAGTGACAATGCATGTCATCATATCCCAGTTGTGTGGACAGATGCGCATGTTGTTTATCCATCTGTCTATCTGTAATATTGCTGTTGCGCTAAACACCAAACAAACAACGTCAAGCTGACGTTGTCCATGATCACAGGAGACCGTGGAATGAAGCTGGTGTTCAAGCGCCTGTGCTTGCCCGACGACTGTTACTTAATAAATATTAATAATAAATAATTAATAATCTATGCTCGTTTGATTCACCTATATGGAACAGCCCAAACTATTTTTTTACTTGGCCTGACAAACGTGTCAGAGATGAACCTTATATGACGGCATAACGAATAAGAATATCAGGCGTTGCCGAAACACGCTCTCGCATGCGCTGATGGGAACGGGATTAATATATTCACTAATTCAGGTCATTGTTATCGTAAATAGGGTCATTGTGACACGTGTTTTCTCATTTGTAAGCTGCGGCATTCGGATAAAGTAAGCCTTAAACCCTGGCCTTTGCACTGGTTGGATGCCTCGAAATAAAAATATTTACTTTTCACATATAATCAATACTTTATCAAATCGCTCGTTCTGGGCCACAGTGAACCAGTCCTTCCAGTCACCAGTTCTACCTGTAACACAACATATTTATTTGGTTCATGAATATATTTGATACTTAACTTGCTTATATATTTCTACATTTCCTGTAAAATACCGCAGTGCTGACGTGTTTTATATAAACGGTATATCTAGCGGAAACCTCGGTTGCTGAGTTGGTTAGATCGCTGACTTTGTGTGCTGGCGATTAGGTACCTAACTCTGAGAGTGTGGGTTCAAATCTCGGATGGGACTCAACGCGAAAATGTACTAGAATTTGTACTTTTCTAAGAAATTGTTATCCCAAATAAAATATTTGATGTTGTTTTTCAAACATTAAAATATTTGATAATTACAAACGGACAGAGACTGCAAACTAGACACAGGTACCTTGTCTTGTGATCAGGTTTTAGTTTCAGTTTTCCAGTTACCTTTTCTGAAGTATCCACTTGAACCACCTTGCCTATGAAAGTGGAAGGTTTGATCTTTTATTATTTCATTTGCGCGCTTGAAATTCTTAAAAGAGCAAGAATCGGATATCGCCTGGTATGTTTGATCCTGTAGAGGGCGTCCCAGGTAATCTGCCATTCTTCTTATTTCCTGAACGCAATCCTGAAAAAGGTACAACTTAATGAAAATGTTCACTGTCAGGTATTTTCCATACCTGTACAGTATATTGTTATGTATTTATGTGAGCCTGGTCGTGGGAGCACCTTTTGGTACTGCTTGGATTGTAATACATCTTTATTCATCATATTGGTACTGTAATAGATCTATGTACATCAGATCATAAGTTTGGTACTGTAATATATCAGCATACATCAGATCTTAATAGGGACGGTCGGGTAGCCTAATGGTTAAAGCGTTCGCTCGTCACGCCGAAGACCCGGGTTCGATTCCCGACATGGGTACAATGTGTGAAGCCCATTTCTGCTGTCCCCCGCCGTGATATTGCTGGAATATTGCTAAAAGCGGCGTTGAACCATACTCACTCACTCACTCAGATCTTGATATTGGTACTGTAATTTATCTATGTACATCAGATCTTAATATTGGTACTGTAATAGATCTATGTACATCAGATCTTAATATTTGTTCTGTAATTATCAAAGTACATCCGATCTTAAAAGTTGTATTAGTATACATTTCTGCAAATCGTATCTATCGCATCAGAAATGTCGGGAATCTAAACCTAGTCTTCGGCGTGACGAGCGAACGTTATAACCACTAGGCTTCCCGACCGCCCCAGAATATGACAAGAATAGTGATCACAATGAAACACACTAAAGGCAGGAAAACAATGTTTTAAGATCTTAATAGAAGTTGCCGCCGAAAAAAAATGAATACCCTTTTAACTTAAATATGCAAACCCTTTCAATAATCCATTGTATGATTTCGACAGTAAAATATACATGTAAATCCATATGATAAAGAGATGTTACAAGGTGTTCGCAAAAAGGTGCGAGTCCTGCCCTATCGGTGAGATCCGTCACAATCACATATTTGGCAATAACGTTTTCATGTCTTCATACTGTCGGCTTCTGTTGGTCCAATCAATTGTGTGTTCAAAATACGGTCCACCAGGTTCTTGACAATATATGAAAGAAAAACTTAAATACATATTAATGATGCGATAGAGGTAGCAATACTTTGTTTAACTTAGATTACTTCACAAGTATTGGGTTGAGGCACCAACAAAAATCGATTGAAAGTGTACATGCAAAAGCATTGTAATTTCATATTAACAAAACACTTTGAATGTACCCATAATATATATCCCTTTCTAGACAGTCTTTCGTAATAGTGTCGTAACTGCTTTCGGGCGTCCAGTGCGACCCTAATACAGTTACTAAATGTATTGCCGTTCCTGGTCCATATGGTCAATTACGCCAGACATCGCCACTCGATCGCCTTGTCCGCCGCGGCTCGGCTCCGTGTAGGAGTGATTGGTCTAACGACACTTACTCCAAGTTGTCTCTATCAGCATTCAAACACGCATAATAAAGAAACGCAACACCAGTTTTATACTCACATAGTTTTACTTACTCTCAGCCCATCTGTCAATGCAGGACAGGATCAGACCGGCAAGACTAGTCACTAACTGGTAGAAACTTAGAACGATCGGGATTCGACTCGATCGATAGCAAACCGCGCTCTCCTCTCCTAATGTTGAAGGTATCATTTTATAGTGTTCGGGCCTGGCCTGTACCTTTACCAAGCACCACCACCGCCACAATTAAGCATCACCACCAGAAAGCATTACATCAACAAGCACCTTCACCAAGCACCACAATCGCCACTATAAAGCATCATCACCAGAAAGCACTACACCACCCAGCACCTTCACCAAGCACCACCATCGCCACTATCAAGCATCATCACCAGAAAGGACTACATCAACAAGCACCTTTACCAAGCACCACCATCGCCACTATCAAGCATCACCACCAGAAAGCACTACATCAACCAGCACCTTCACCAAGCACCACCACCGCCACTATCAAGCATCATCACTAGAAAGCGCTACATCAACCAGCACCTTCACCAAGCACCACCATCGCCACTATCAAGCATCATCACCAGAAAGCGCTACATCAACAAGCACCTTCACCAAGCACCACCACCGCCCCCATCAAGCATCACCACCAGAAAGCGCTACATCAACCAGCACCTTCACCAAGCACCAACATCGCCTCTATCAAGCATCACCACCAGAAAGCACTACATCAACCAGCACCTTCACCAAGCACCACCACCGCCCCCATCAAGCATCACCACCAGAAAGCACTACATCAGCAAGCACCTTCACCAAGCACCACCACCGCTGCTATCAAGCATCACCACCAGAAAGCACTACATCAACCAGCACCTTCACCAAGCACCACCACCGCCCCCATCAAGCATCACCACCAGAAAGCACTACATCAGCAAGCACCTTCACCAAGCACCACCACCGCTGCTATCAAGCATCACCACCAGAAAGCACTACATCAACCAGCACTATCACCAAGCACCACCACCGCCCCCATCAAGCATCACCACCAGAAAGCACTACATCAACCAGCACCTTCACCAAGCACCACCATCGCCTCTATCAAGCATCACCACCAGAAAGCATTCCATCAACCAGCACTATCACCAAGCACCACCACCATAAAGCATCATCACCAGAAAGCACCACACCACCCAGCACCTTCACCAAGCACCACCATCGCCACTATCAAGCATCACCAACAAAAAGCACTCCATCAACCAGCACCTTCACCAAGCACCACCACCCCCACCATCAAGCATCATCACCAGAAAGCACCACACCACCCAGCACCTTTACCAAGCACCACCACCCCCACCATCAAGCATCACCACCAGAAAGCACCACACCACCCAGCACCTTCACCAAGCACCACCACCGCCCCCATCAATTATCACCACCAGAAAGCACTGCATCAACCAACACCTTCACCAAGCACCACCACCGCTACTATCAAGCATCATCACCAGAAAGCACTGCATCAACCAGCACCTTCACCAAGCACCGCCACCGCCACCATCAAGCATCATCACCAGAAAGCACTACATCAACCAGCACCTTCACCAAGCACCACCACCGCCACTATCAAGCATCACCACCAGAAAGCGCTACATCAATCACCACCTTCACCAAGCACCACCATCGCCACTATCAAGCATCACCACCAGAAAGCATTCCATCAACCAGCACCTTCACCAAGCACCAACACCTTCAAGCATCATCACCAGAAAGCACCTTCACCAAGCACCAACATCGCCACTATCAAGCATCACCACCAGAAAGCACTCCATCAACCAGCACCTTCACCAAGCACCACCACCGCCACCATCAAGCATCATCACCAGAAAGCACCACACCACCCAGCACCTTCACCAAGCACCACCACCGCCCCCATCAAGTATCACCACCAGAAAGCATTCCATCAACCAGCACTATCACCAAGCACCACCACCATAAAGCATCATCACCAGAAAGCACCACACCACCCAGCACCTTCACCAAGCACCACCATCGCCACTATCAAGCATCACCAACAAAAAGCACTCCATCAACCAGCACCTTCACCAAGCACCACCACCCCCACCATCAAGCATCATCACCAGAAAGCACCACACCACCCAGCACCTTTACCAAGCACCACCACCCCCACCATCAAGCATCACCACCAGAAAGCACCACACCACCCAGCACCTTCACCAAGCACCACCACCGCCCCCATCAATTATCACCACCAGAAAGCACTGCATCAACCAACACCTTCACCAAGCACCACCACCGCTACTATCAAGCATCATCACCAGAAAGCACTACATCAACCAGCACCTTCACCAAGCACCGCCACCGCCACCATCAAGCATCATCACCAGAAAGCACTACATCAACCAGCACCTTCACCAAGCACCACCACCGCCACTATCAAGCATCACCACCAGAAAGCGCTACATCAATCACCACCTTCACCAAGCACCACCATCGCCACTATCAAGCATCACCACCAGAAAGCATTCCATCAACCAGCACCTTCACCAAGCACCAACACCTTCAAGCATCATCACCAGAAAGCACCTTCACCAAGCACCAACATCGCCACTATCAAGCATCACCACCAGAAAGCACTCCATCAACCAGCACCTTCACCAAGCACCACCACCGCCACCATCAAGCATCATCACCAGAAAGCACCACACCACCCAGCACCTTCACCAAGCACCACCACCGCCCCCATCAAGTATCACCACCAGAAAGCACTGCATCAACCAGCACCTTTACCAAGCACTACCATCGCCACTATCAAGCATCACCACCAGAAAGGACTACATCAACCAGCACCTTCACCAAGCACCACCACCGCTACTATCAAGCATCACCACCAGAAAGCACTACATCAACCAGCACCTTCACCAAGCACCACCTTCGCCACTATCAAGCATCATCACCAGAAAGCGCTACATCAACCAGCACCTTCACCAAGCACCACCACCGCCACTATCAAGCATCATCATCAGAAAGCGCTACATCAACCAGCACCTTCACCAAGCTCCACCATCGCCACTATCAAGCATCATCATCAGAAAGCATTCCATCAACCACCACTATCACCAAGCACCACCACCATCAAGCATCATCACCAGAAAGCACCACACCACCAAGCACCTTCACCAAGCACCACCATCGCCACTATCAAGCATCACCACCAGAAAGCACTCCATCAACCAGCACCTTCACCAAGCACCACCACCGCCAACATCAAGCATCATCACCAGAAAGCACTACACCACCCAGCACCTTCACCAAGCACCACCACCGCCCCCATCAAGTATCACCACCAGAAAGCACTACATCAACCAGCACCTTTACCTAGCACCACCATCGCCACTTTCAAGCATCACCACCTGAAAGCATTACATCAACCAGCACCTTCACCAAGCACCACCATCGCCACTATCAAACATCGCCACCAGAAAGCACGACAATACCACCAACCACCACAACCACCAAGCACCACCAATCACCACAACCCAGTACCAACAAAATGCGTCACAACCCAGGACCGCCATGGAACACCACCATCGCCATCACCACCATCACTATCAAGATGAACAACAACAAAGCACCAAAGCACCACCAACGACAATACCACCAACCACCACAACCACCAAGCATCCCAATCACCACCAATCGCCGCAGCCACCACCAAGCACCACGACCAGCACCAAGTATACCAACCACAACGACCACCACGCAACATCACTACCAAGCATCATAAACATGGCAACCGACACCAACCACCACAACAACCTGTCATCACAAAGCACAACAACCCTACAACCACTACCAAGCAAAAACGCATAAATGGGCTATTATTATCATTATTAAAAATGCATGACTATTACGATATGCTTCATCTGAGAACAGTTGATGTTAAGGCGGCACTTATCGAAGGTGACAGAAATGGTGCTCGTCACACGTACACAAAATAAATTCTCATAAATCTCGGAGAGATTGACCATCGGCATACAAGAACACCAAGCATTAACCACAAAGCATCACCACTGCAAGCACCGTAAGCGCCACCATCACCAAACACGTAGCACCATCTGCACAAACTGCACTACCACCAAACACCACAATCTAGCAGCACCATCAAGCACCGCAAAAAGACACCACCACAAACAACATCAAGCACTACCACCACCACACAACCACCAGCACGATCAACACCAAACAAAGCATCAACAACCACCGTAAAGTGCCAAAGCCACCACTACAAAGAAGCACCACCATCACCAAAAAAGAACATCAAACCATCACCAAGCACCACCACCACCATCAGTCTAGCATCGGAAGATGACCTACATTTTTATAAATAGTAATATAGTAATGCACGATAATTGTTCCTTTGCTTCAGATGAAACAAGCAGTCAAAGGTTGGCTTCCATTGGCTGATGAATTCCAAACATGGCGGCTGAGTCAGCGGCCAAGATCAGCGACTTCAAGGAACGTCTACACCTTCAACGACCGCCTAAAGTCCTTCAACTACACCAGATATGAACATTTTAAGCAGCATACTGACATGGATTATTATATTGCAGGTGTATTTAAATGTATTAAATATATAAAATACAGAATCGTTATTTTGAACAGCATATGTTTTCGTTTCAGCAAGTTGCATTGATGATTGGATTACATTATATATATTTTATAAAGGGCGCTGGATTGGGATCGGTTAACAGCCCATTCGAGTATGGAGCAGGTTAAACAATACTTTACCTGCTTCATACTTGGGAGATGATGTAGACTCACTTCAGTGTTTAGATCTTAACTGCAGTACATAACTAGGTCATGTGTACATAACGTTGTGTTGTTTGGCGTTGTCTGCCGTAGGACTTTGTTGACGGGCTATACGAGCGCCTGGTAAACATCTCGGAGGTGGAGCTTCCCCGTCAGGATAAAATCAGCTTCAAAGTACTCCGCTACACACAAGAAGCCTTTCGAGACGGGTATCAGTGGCGATTGTGAGTTGAAAACGGATATGTGATAGTTATATCAACATGCTTTGACTATAAGGATGAGTTTAAACAGATATTAGATTACCTGTCTTTGGAAAACAAACTTTTAACAGAGTTATGGTAACAACACTATGAATATGTCTTACAGCCGACCGACAAACACATAGCCATGCAAACATTGACGTATTGTATTCCCAGGAACGCGCCTAGCTGAGTTCTCCCTCTAAATTCAAGTCTATTGTTACTTCAAAGGAGTGACTTTGTATGAGACAACAGCGCAAATTGTAAATTGTTTTCCGTCTCTCTTAATGATATGCAATTACATATTCATAATATAAACGTTTAAGTAAGTTCAGTAATAGATTGAAATAATTGATGCTAAAAATGCACAATTTTAAAATTAGATAAGTTTGACGACATCACAAACGAGCTTACAAAAAGATATATAAAAGAAATGATAATTTAGACATGACATATCCACAGATACCATTGTAATGTCCCTATCCACCGAATGCATTGTCAACATAGCAGTATCAATTCCTTACAACGATCAAACGCACATACATTGATACGTATCGGATCCTAATGAGAAAAATAAAACAAATGTTTATCCGAATGGAGTAGGGCTGCAGGAGACCATGGTGTTGCATGACACCTTAGATATCTAGATTCAAACACATCTTTGTTCATATGGCAGAAGTGATACTAGCATATTCTAACATTTTAACATATTCTAACATAGTAAAATGTATAATGCATAGTATAATATTTTGTCTGCAAATTCATCCTGTACACAAGGGCAAATTAAATCTACTTCGGTGCACAGCACAAGACCTCAGTTACTGATTGTAGATCACCAGATTTCCGTATGGAGTCAGACGCGTTGCAATGAATGCTTTTCGGTATCAAATAGACATTCAATAAAGAGTAAATAAATCTATTTTACCCTTAAGGTGGCCTAAGTAATGATAATATTCTATAATAAAAGATGGTGATGCAAGATTTCCTGTTTCAGTTACGTCAACTTGAACCCCGTAAACTTCCTTGAGGGAGTTCAGAAGGATGTGACCCGGATGACAAGCACCCCAATGAACACAAGGGAAGATGTGGAGAACTACCTTCACAGATTGACCTTGCTGCCACAACAGGTAACTCAACAATAATAAGTTTGTAAACTCTTAGGCGAAAGAATTTATTCCAGCTTTTTTCTGGAATTTCAAATGGTGATAATAAATTCGGGTTAGGGTGTTCATGGCTTTTCAGTGATCCATTCATAGATTTTTCACAGCTAATTGCCCTTTGCGGCAAATGAAATCTGTTTTGGAGGATGATGAAGACGTTTTATATTTACAATGGAAGGTAGTGAATGCAATATAGCGAAAGAGAGAACAGTTCCTATCACTTGAACTGAAACATTTCTTATGACAGCTTTTGTCCTCCTGGTATGTAGTCATCATTTTCTTATATCCATATATTCACAAATATTTTTATTCTAAAATGCATTCATCTAGTATTTGGTCAACATACTATTTGGTCATTCGTCTGCTCAATGTTTTATCATAAGACATTCATTGACGAAACGCATACCTGGTTACAGATCGACACGCCCTAAAAGAGGGATGGCGTAACAACTCAATTAACAATATCCATATCGGGTGTGACACCATTTTGCGCAGATACAGAGGCGGTGCACTGAAGATACCAGATGATTGAGCCTTGGGGATGTTGTTCCAACGCCAGTAAGGTTTGACGGACACTCTTAGACCACTGACGATTGGGACACAAGATGGAGAGGTTTTTCGGTTGCCAGAGGTTTTCTTTTCGAAAACCACGAGGCGGGTACAAAAGGTGGAACAGGAGAGCGAAGACAAGGGAACTAACTCGGGGAGTCTTCCGTACCGCTAATAGCCAGCCAACACTATTGGCGCAAATGTAAAGCAAAGATTGGACCAATTGAGCTAGCGTTACAGCTGCAGGTTGATTCTAATCATGTCGTTGGCGTCTGATCCATCTCATTCCAAATATGTTCTATGTGGGGCAGCAGGCCATGGTAGTACTGCATTGTTATGCTGTCTCAAAAAAAGTATGTTACAACACATGCAACAAGTGATGCGGGAATTATCCTGAATTTGCACAAAGGCTAGAACTTGTCCAGATAGCGTAAGCAATTCAAATTGCCATTAACAATGATGAGTTTATACTCCCCTCTCCAAATTGCCGGCGTTGTGTAACGCAAGCGTCGCTAAAACATCCTGGATGCACGACGATTAGAGCTGCCCATATGAAACCTGGACTCATCTGTGAACAATATATTGTCCATGTCTTGTCTTCTGAACTTGAGAAGGAAGCTGTCTACACCAAGCTAGGGGTGCCTGAACATAGGGCATATTTCTTGACTTCCGTACCGGATCTTGCGCTCAATCACCGAGTTGCCTACGTTTCTACCTCTAATTGGTCTCAACCCAGGAGTAGTCCGAGCTGTTAATGTGGCAGTTTGGTATCAATATACTAGTATTCCTAGATGCACCAATCGACGTCACACCTGGACGACCAGCCCGTGGCATAATGTTTCCAAGGAGATTATATTATGTCTGGCAACTTCGTTGTGCTCCTGTTTGCAGCATACCCTAGGCGTGTTGACGTTGATTGTCAGCACGCCGCGACATCACTCAGGCGTTATTCACGGTTAAACGTATGTTTTAACGACCACCTGATAGATTTGTAAAACAGGTGTGTGAGTATCATGCACAAACAAACACGCAAACATCCTAATTATGCGCCTTTTTTTAACATGCACGTGCAAATTGTGAATCACAACCTTAATGTCGAGGAGATGTATTCATCAATATATTTTTTTAAAAATGCATGGTTTAATTTCAGAATAAATATATATTAATTGAACTTTAAATGAGTTACATTTTCCGTTGCTTAACAAAATATATTCCAGTTGTTTTCAATTGTTGTGTTACGTTTACACAGATATCTGAGATAAAAGAGAGTTTCCAGCAAGCCGTGCAAAATGGAACAAAGTACCACAATGCATCCATGGTACGCATAAAAGTAGACGGTAAAAATATACCATATATAGTTGTAGTTTAGAGGGCATGTACACAACTAGTCAGAACTCAGCACCTACTTATCAGACTATAATGGCGAGATCAACCCGACAGCTGCGGCAAAAGAATCGTATTATCGCGGTAGTGACGTATGGGTAGCCAGGGAGTATCAAGTGTGCTGGGCTACTGGGGAACACAGGGCACGGCTTTCATCCTGCCTCATACTCACATATTTCCTCCAGAAATGGAAAAGTTATATTGCACGATTTCACTGTAATACCTCATAACATATAGTTCGTGCTAAGGGTCGATTTTGAAAAAAATAGAGTTTATTTGTTTAACAGAATTTAAGTATATAAGCCGATATAAAACGACATTATATATGGTTACCAAGTGTAAAGCGATAGTCATGTGAACTAGCGACACTAGCGAATCAGTTCCAATATGGATTCTTCTTTATGACTTGTTGGATGAAGATGAGCCGAGTGGGATTCTATTCTGATTTTAGCCAGCCTTTATAACAGAGGAAAAATCACCACTAAAAGTTAGATACGGGCTTCACATGGTACTATATTGTGTCTGATATCAGAGGGAAATATGATTGATGTTGTGTCACTTCAGTTTCGGTTACCAGAGCAGTTTGACCAAGTTACCAATATCGCAGACAACAAGATGTCACCATTGTACAAACCCTTCATCAAAAGCGTGGAAAACAACACGATCGGCTTTAGTGATACAGAGAGGTATAGCACACGTCATGTAATCTGATGAGCAAATGAACCCCTATAAACCATGGGGAAGGGTGATATTATTTTATTCAACTAAATACAAATTGTGTTTTCTGTATGGCACAAGTTGACCTAAGTACATAAAAACCCAATGACCTACATGTATAAAGATAAATGAATGACCTCGTCTTCAATGTTATAGACGTCAAGTGTTGTGGTTTGTCATCAGTAATCTGAAGTGCTCTGTATGTGGACTAACGACCCACAAGTACTGGGATTCGAGGCAGAATAAAGCCCAAATGACCAACGTGAGACCTCTTGGAGTGTGTGTGAATGTATCTCGACGATAAAGTTGGTTGCCCTTGGAATTTGCAGCGGATGAAACAAAAACGTAGAATGTAATATTAACAATGTCTTCTTGTTCTGCTGACAGGCAAACAGTCATCGACAGAGCAACATCCGCCATTGCATCAGCTCTGGACAGCTTGAGGGATCTGAAATCGTATCTGACGAATGTATGTATACAACTATTTATGGCAATAATAGCGTAACCACTAGAGGACAGGATCTAATATCACCGTACACAAGTATACTAGAGTGTGGTAGAAACTATGTTATCAATGCAGTGACGGATGTTTGTATCCGAGGATATATGCTATAAAACATTTACCACCATTTTACTCTCATACCCTTCTCAGCTCTAGCAGCCTACTCATCCCAGTGTCAGCTAAGAGACTTGAGGGTGCCTTAATATTCAAGGGTTTCTTTTTAGAAGTATATCTAGCTCTATTTTTGCTTGTTGTCCTCTTTTCATTGCAAAAATAATGTTATCGTAATACTATTTATATATACATTAAATGCCATTATCTGTTGATGAAAAGTCAGTAAAGTAGCACATAAGACAGGGCGTAGTCCGAATACATTAGTGAAACATTATACTAACATTTTTTTTATGTTTATGTAAGTAAATAGAAAATGTCTAGTGTTTCACAGCGATGTAATTCACAATATCTACTTATCTACATACATATGATACCATTGGCAGAGTACATACATGTACGGTTCAATGTATGACTGTCACTATGCATGTAAACTGGACTACACGACTCGTTCTGGTATCGGCGTCAGTTCATTACACAACGGCGGGGAGTACTACAAGGCGTGCATGAAGGCGTACCTCTCACTGGACACCACCCCAGAGGACGTCCATGAGACGGGGAAGAGGGAGGTTGCTCGGATAGAACAACTCATGATGAAGGTAAATCTGCATTGAGACTTAAATCTTCATGGGGTGGGTACATTTGCATGGAGGAGGTAAATCTTCATTGAGGGGTAAATCATCATGGAGGAGGTAAATCATCATGGAGGAGGTAAATCTTCATGAAGGAGGTAAATCTTGATGGAGGAGGTAATTCTTCATGGAGGGGTAAATTATAATGGAGGAGGTACATCATCATGGAGGAGGTAAATCTTCATGAAGGAGGTAAATCTTCATGGAGGAGGTAAATCTCCATGGAGGAGGTTAATCTCGATGGAGGGGTAAATCTCCATGGAGAGGTAAATCATCATGGAGGAGGCAAATGACTATGAAGGAGGTAAATCTTCATGGGGGAAGTAAATCACCGTGGAGGGGTAAATGGTCATGCAGGGAAAATCATCGTGGAGGAGGTAAATTTTCATGGAGGGATAAATTTACACGGAGGAGGTAAATCTTGATGGAGGAGGTAAATCTTCATGGGGGAAGTAAATCACCGTGGAGGGGTAAATGATCATGCAGGGAAAATCATCGTGGAGGAGGTAAATCTTCATGGAGGAGGTAAATCTTCATGGAGGGATACATTTACATGGAGACGGTAAATCTTCATGGAGGAGGTAAATCTTGATAGAGGAGGTAAATCATCATGGATGGGGTTAATCTTCATGGATGAGGTAAATCTTCATGGAGGGATAAATGTACATGGAGGAGGTAAATCTTGACGAGGAGGCAAATGTTGATGGAGGAGGTAAATCTTAATGGGGAGGGTAAATCGTCATGTTTGGGTAACTGTTCCGGGAATTTGGATGACTAGATAGTTCTTTAGTTACAGATGCGAAACCAGATATGAGCCTTAACTTTATGTATTTTTGTGGCAGACCAATTGTTTTTGTTTCAATGGCCTGAAGCATAAAAAATGCAACAATGATTTTTTTTGTGGCAGACCATTTGTTTTTATTTCAACGGAATGAGGCATAAAACTGCAACAATGTATTTTTGTGGCAGACCATCTGTTTTGATTTCAACGGCCTGAAGCATAATTATTTTTGTCAAGTATATTCTTGGAAATCTATTATTACTGGTAAATGAGTGTTTGAAGACACAAGTTTGATACATAACGCAAAGCTATTGCAACAGCTAGATTTAGGAGGCGTCACTCAACTTTACAAAATGTATTTGGTCGATTTTCACAACGTTGCCCAAAACAGATCACAATGTGCATCACCTCTGATTTACCAGTTATGACACACTGTATCCCCTGAACTGTTGTAATTTTATTTACTTATTATCACAATTTGGTGATTAGACATACATGTGTCAACAATTTCTTTTGATGTAGTAGTGTTCTTCTTCAAGATAATAACCAAACAGGGCTACAACCTCTCCATCAGGGAATACTTCACTGTCGTCATGAATCAGTCCCAATATTTCTACAACACAGGGGTAAAACAATTATGTTATTTATAAAATGTGTAAGAAGACGCTTATATTCTATGCCACAGGTATCAGACGATATTTAGTTTCCACAACACATGTCTCATATAACCCAGGGCCCAGATTCCCATCGTTTCCTTGGACATGTACTAACGTTACAAATGTCATTTGCGGAACCGCGGAAGGAAGACGATGAAAAAGATAATGCTATTCCATCCGGGGACACGAGATACTATTTGGAGATTAAAATATAATATCGCGTCTTCCCTTATACATAACTGGACATGGTATAATATCACAAGACGTCGGTTCATTTACGCTGTGGTTGAAACTGATGTAATAAGTAGACGCCTTCGACGCGATAACACAATGTGGCACTGACTGCCCTTGATATGTGTCTCAATGAATGAGTCATCATTATAGGGAAATTCATCTGCAATCTTACAAACCACGCCTTCGTTTAAGGGAGAACTACTGGAGGCCTACAGGCAGATCATCAGAGATGTCGATCCTACCCTCACCAAACTTTTCAAAGACTTGCCAGGCCTTTCCATCATGTGAGTAGAGGTTGTCAGTAGGGAGTTAGTGAATGAGCTGGGTTTTAGGCCGCTTTGAGCAATATTCCGGCCAGATCAAGCCGAGGTCATCAGAAATGGGCTTCACACATTGTAACCATGTGGGAAATCGAACCTGGACCTTCGGTGGATCGTCCGAACACTTTAACCAAAAGGCTAACCACCGCCCCAAGGTTGTAGAACAGGAAGAACATATCAGCATGTATGTGTCCTGGATATTCACAGAGAACCCAGCAGGGGTCAGATGAGGTGTCAGATATTCAGTTATGGACTTTATGGAATATATTCTGAAAACCCGATGCGGTGTCACAACAAGCCTGTTATGTCACATTCACTTGGCGACCCAGATATATTGAATACAGGGAGGAGGAGGGTTTATTTGACAGACTCTTAAGCCAGGACTTTTATTCACACTCTCTTACTCGTGGTGGACAATTTCTCGCCAATGGGATAGTGTCCGGCTACCTACCTCGGACTCTCTCTCACCCCAGACCTTGTTTCACATGACAGAGCCATGATGTAGCGTGGATATTGCTGACTGCTGCGTATAACAAGTAGAGAAGAGTTCAGAAGTCGGAAAAGGTCGTTTAATATTCAAAAATGATATATATCTTCAATCAATTTGATACATTTCAGCGTGGTGGCGAGGGCGAATGATGGGCCACAAGGCTCGTATTCTACGGGGACTGCTGACGGCCGTACACCAGGAACTTTTACGGCAAACGTTCTGAGACCTGGAGATATGTAAGATATGACCTGTTTATACATCATTGCAGTCAGGGTGTGATCTGTACAACACTCATTATTATGGTATAATATAACTGAAATAGCAACATGTTAAATTCACGACTTAATGAATACATGGTTAGTCTGATTTTGTAGACATTGTAGTTTCTTCTTTTTTCTTCTACATATTTGGTTGTAAGTTGTACGTTTTTCTTGATCTCTCTCAACTCCTCTCTCAATCATGTTATATTGCAGTTTTGTCGTCAGGATCTCGTGTTATTTTTGTATGAATTTTCAGACCAAAATTCGGCTTGATGGCACTAACATTGCATGAAGCAAGCCCCGGTCATCATTTACAGGTAATGGTCTATCAACTGCTAAAACCACTGCCAACTTTTACAATAAATGGCATCTCAATGAGCTGACACACATCTGCCAAAATGCATACGTAAAAATTATTCAAAAGCTGGCACACCTCTGTCAACATTTACAAGTAATTATACTTCTAATTTTGCCAACATTAGTAATGATATTTTCATGAGCTGGCGCAAGTAATTCTGTCAACAATTACAGGTATTAGTATATCTATACACTGGTACAAAGAGGTTATCACGCGAGTGTGTTTGGGGATGGTAAATATCCTGCATTAGGAATAAACATTGTATTTAGCGAGCCTTGGCGAGCTAAATACATAGTGTTTATTCCTAATACAGGATATTTACCATCCCCAAACACACAAGCGTGATAACCTCTTTATCATATAATGTCATTCTTTAATTCTGTGCTTCAAAATCGCTTTCCCTCTCTCACAAACATTACCGAAACATTGCGAGTTTTCCTGGAATGCGCGCATTAATATTTATTACGTCACAGGGTAAGTGATGTGTCAGTCGGACAGTGACAGTAGCCAATATAGTTCAAACTGAAATCTGTTTCTTATACAGTGGCGAAGCAACATATACGCAAAACAACAATTGTTTTTAATTGCCTTTCGCGGCAATCCATCGGTCTGTCCGCTAGAGTAACTGCCCTTTGACAAAGGGAAGCTACTCTAACCCTAGTCTATGAGACGTCACGGCCACGGTCAGACGTTGTTGACAGTCGGTCTGTCCTGTCATTACAATAAGAAGTGTAGTCAGATGTACACACAGCGACAAAACGAAACAAGGTAACAATTCAAACATATTTCCGCCAAATCCAACTATTTTAATTTGTGGAGGAGGTTTCAAGCCGCAGAGGTCTACAAGCACAGATATGGCTACTGATCCCGCTTGGCTAGGCCTCGTGCCCTCGCCAAATTGTTTCGAAATTTATATCTCCAAAGTTGACAAAACTTATAAAATGCCTTAGCTACGTCACAGTTAGACACAGATTTTCAGTATATTAGACTGTTCTTTTGATAATGATAGCAACTATCCCTGTAGTTTATCCAGATTCCCGATGGTTAATTCTGACTCGATCGCCGAATGACAAGGGCGACGCCATGTTTGTTTATAAACAGTGAAAGTAGTCCCTACTTGACCTTTGATATTTGCATCTCTATCCGCATATGACCCCAACGGATATCGTTTTTATCCGTTGGCTTTATCCTGCCGAGAAACCTACCCATTATATGATAAATACATTTACATGTATTGGTATCTGTATAAACTGACACACTTTTGTCAACATTTACAAGCTAGCGGTATATAATAGGGTAATATATAGGGAATCAAAAGTACTTTGTTGCATTGTGTTCTATGATGCCATTGACAGAGTGTGTCTTCTAGATAAGAAGGACGCGAAAATAAAGATACTGAAGAAGGAAGAACGTTATGTAAGTAATCCCACATAGGGTTGATATAAATGATATCCTGTCAAAAGAAACCTATTTTACAGCAGGTCTTCCTCAACGTTCCGTATTAGCACCATTTGTATTCGTAGTATACACTTTTGTAAACCATATTGCAGATGGATTGAAATGATGGACAAGAATATTGGCAAACCGTTTACCGTTGGCAGCAGACATAAATACATCGAGAAGCTAAATTAAGAATAATCTCCCTACTGTGAATACATAAACAAGAAACTGTATTGTGTCATTAACCTCCAAACAGGAAACGCAAATGAAATAAACCTGTTTTGTCTCAACCAGCTGCCTCACACTACAGGTTTACACTGTCAAGGCCACAAGTACATGTAAACATCCCCATATGTATTGTTCAGAAAAAGAAATTGTCGATGAAAGTGACATGACAAGTAATGCCACAAATAGACCAGTGTGTTAACCAAGGAAGAAAACTGCCCCAACCGATCATCTTGCTTCAAAACCTGAATACATGTCCATTCTATTTTACTGGATTCCAAAGCTCCACTAAAATCCGTAGTGGGAGATATTGCTGGGTCCAGCAAATATACCACCAAATCCCTGTATCAAAAACTAACCAAAATCATCAATACAATCACGAAATTATAATCGCAGAAAGTATTTGAGATCAGTGAGTTAATACCATGTAGAGTGTAAAAACATCAAATGATTTGCTTGAGCGTTTTCAGAGGAGAACCAAGTTTAAATATGTTGATTTGATTTTTCAACTTTGTACACTATCCTACACGGCAATATCCATGGGGCATATTATACTAAATGGGATGACCATAGATATAGTTACACCTTCTAAGTTTAGGACAATTGGTCAAATATGAAAGCTAATTTCAAATTTACCGAGAAAACATTCCGTGAAATTATTGCGCTTATATAGCGACGTGCATGTACGTGTGTGTGTGTGTGTGTGTGTGTGTGTGTGTGTGTGTGTGTGTGTGTGTGTGTGTGTGTGTGTGTGTGTGTGTGTGTGTGTGTGTGTGCGTGTGTGTGTGCGTGGCTGCTTGTACTAGTCCGGACTGATGCCGAGTTATAGTGCTAGCTCACTGAGATACAATGCCTCAGTTTTACATGAATATCAAACTCAGACACTGTATACTGACAACGAGCCGACCAGTCCTTGTTTTATCCCCTTAAAGCCGAGCGCCAGGCGGGGTAACAACAAGTACCATCTTTTAACGTCTTTTGGTATGACGTGGCCGGGGATCGAACCCCGGACTTTCCGCTCTCTGGGCGGACGCTCTACCACTAGACCACGGAGGCGGTTCATAGACAAGAAGTAGGCACATCCATGAACATCGATTGTGCTCTCCTCCTTGCTGATCTGTTTGATCAGCAGCCATAACACTCAGAATTTCCCCCGGAATTGTCAAAATCAAAACAAAGGAATTTCGACAAAAGGACTAACTTTAGCCCTAGGTATACTGAACAACAAAAGTTCCTGTGATATTGAATAAAATTTAATGCAAAGTTATGTTTTTTACCAAATCTGAAACAATATCGATTTGCAACAGATAAAAGACTCCTGAAAGTGTTCAAATGGTTTACTTTGCCATACTGACTTCAGAAAATGCGTGATTTCATAAAAAACATGAACATGCCAAATTGTCAATTTACAATTCAATAGCGTGTGTGTCCACCTCTGGTTGCGATGCAATCAACACATCTTCGTCTCATGGAATGTACCAGGCGTCGCACAAAGTCCTGTGATATCTGCTGGAGCATGTTTCGAAGCGGCGATCCATCTCATCCCACATGTGCTGGTGAGAGATCAGGGGAGCAAGCAGGCCAGGGGATGACGTTTAGAATCCTGAACAAGTCGAGCAATATGAGGCCGGGCGTTGTCATGTTGAAAGGTAATGCCTCGGCCATGACGACGCAAAAACGGTAGAACAACAGGATCGATGATCTCGTCGCGGTAGCGCTGTCCATTGAGATTTCCCTCTACCACTATCAAACGGGTCCTCTGTCTTGCTGTAATCCCACCCCATACCATAACGCTGCCGCCCCCGAACCGATCTTCTTCCATGACACAATGATTGACGTAACGTTCACCTCGACGTCGGTACACTCGAATCTGTCCATCGCTGTGGCTGAGGTGAAAACGAGACTCGCCAGTGAATAGAACTTCTCCCCACTGCATGGCCGTCCAGGGTAGACACTGTCTGCAACACTGTAGACGTGCTTGACGGTGGTTTCCTGTCAAAATGGGACGTCTGGCGGGTCTTCTGGCGACAATCCCTGCACATCTGAGGCGACGACATACGGTTTGTGTAGATATTCGTCGACGGCCAGGGAGGCTTCTTGCAGTCACTGTTGCTGGCTGGAATCGATTTTGTAGGTGTGTTGTTCGAATCCAGTTGTCTTGTCGATTATTGGTTACGCGTGACCTGCCACTCCGAGGATGATCTCTGTGTGTTGCAGCTGGGACAGAGAACATATATGTTTAAGCCATTTGGATGGTTGTAATACTACCGCTATCCAGTGTGCAAGAGTGTGATTTACATCTTGGACAGAGAACAGATTGTGTTAAGTCATTAGGACGGTTGTAATACTACCACTGTCCACTGTGGAAGAGTGTGTCTTACAGCTGAGACAGAGAACAGATTGTGTTAAGTCATTAGGACGGTTGTAATGCTACAACTGTCCATTGTGGAAGAGTGTGTCTTACAGCTGGGACAGAGATCAGATTGTGTTAAGTCATTAGGACGGTTGTAATACTACCACTGTCCACTGTGAGAAAGAGTGTGATTTACAGCTGGGACAGAGAACAAATTTGTTTAACCATTAGGACGGTTGTAATACTACCACTGTCCACTGTGAGAAAGAGTGTGTGTTACAGCTGGGACAGAGAACAGGCCATCCAGTATTTCCTCAACTACACAGCCTTCACCTACGCTACAGCTGCGACTGAGATTGACCGCTACATCACCTGGCCAGGGCAGGCCCTCACCTACAAGATAGGCGAACTGAAGATCCTGGAGCTGAGGAAACGGGCAGAGCAAAGACTTGGTAGGAGGAGTTTGTTGAGAATCTTGAATTCAGTTTTATACGACTTTTTGAGCTGAGTAATTTCCATTATTACGACCAGTTTTTTCACTGGAACAAGGACAGTAAGGGTGATATTTGTGTTATATGTCATCCTGAAGTGTTTGGTTGCTGCAAATATTTAGAGGACTATTTACTCATAGACCTCGTATAAGAACGTAATTGAGAAGGTGTGTTCTGCACACGAGATGGCGTTTTACACGCGGAAGGATACTAGGATATCCTAGCGCTCGTCTGGCTTACATTTGGGGAAGCCGATACGTTTTGTAAATATGGGTAATAACAAAAATGACCCAATCGACATTTGGTATTATGGATAATATGTCCCTCTTGAATTAAGCGTGTATTATGTGTAAAGGTTAATTTCACTCGTATCATGTCCTCTGAAATTCCTCGTAGTCATTCTCTTATTACACACGCGGTACTACTTGAACAGATATTAAAACAAACTTTTGTGTATTAACTTGTGCATGGAATTTGTTTGGTTGATACCCGAACTGTTACCTTTCCAGTTCTACATTTGATTCATTCATAGGTTTGATCACAAACGTACACAATATTCATTATCATGACAATGGGGCTCATTGACACAAAATGAAACAAGACAA